TCATTGGGACAACGTGCTTGCTTTCTGTAAGGGGCATGCCACTCTGTACCCAGACATTAGGCAACAGTTAGGTTTGGCACTAACTGCATCAGTTTGCCCTTATAGTGAGCGGAACACAGCCCAGGTCTAGCCTGAGACCTTAGGAGCAGTAACTGGTCCGCCCCCATTAAAGCACAGCAGTGCAGCTATAAAAGTGAACCAGTTTTAGGAACTCAGTCATTCCAGAAGCAGGTCTTTACCTTTATAGACTTACCTGTAGAATACCTAATGCATGCATTAATTTCACAGGCAAATTCAAATGCGGAGAACATCAAGCTGATCTCGGCTATGTTGTGTGCTGCACTCTATCCCAATGTTGTCCAGGTAAAAGAATGCTTTTCTATTTTTCCTTCTTCTGTCTAGTATATCCACGCAGCCCACTGTTATTTTGGGCTGATTGTGGCAGCCTTGAGCCTGGCTTAGGTTGCTGAAGCTCGCTGCTTCTAGTATTAGAGCCAGGCAGCTGACCTCCAGTTTGTATTGCTTGATGCTGCTGCTGTTCCTACAGGCTGATTTTTAGTGTCACAGCAAATTTGCCAGCAGCAAATGTTCTTAAGCAGCTACTTTAAATTACAGCTTTTAGAAGGCCGAGGTTACAAATGAATGCTGGTTAGGCAGCACCCAGAGCACAATACCTGCCTCTAGTGACTTGACGTGTTACTACTTGAGAATTTCTGGCTTTGATAGAACTAAAACGTAAGTTAAAAAGGTTTTCTGATACAGACTTTTATAGCTTTTTATCTAACCGTACAGGTGAAAAAGCCAGAGAGCAAATACCAGAAGACCAGTACAGGAGCAGTCAAAATGCAACCAAAAGCAGAAGAGCTGAAGTTTGTTACCAAAAATGATGGTTATGTTCACATTCACCCTTCATCTGTGAATTATCAGGTCAGGATTCTTTTTTTCTGCAAAGTATGCTCCTTTTCATAAAAGAAATCACCTTTGCTTGAGCAGTTGAGATTACAGTGAAGGTCCCTATCGATATTTTAAAAAAAAAATCTTCATAATTGAACAGTCGCCTGTTAGAATTGTAAATAATGGTGTGTTCCTGAGTTACGAGTGTCCTCTTGGGCACACAGTTAAACTCCAGCCTCTGGAGTGGAATTAGCAGATGCAGTAACCCCCCATCGTGTTTCCTTAAGCTGCATCTGCAGAGCTGCACACACAAATGTGGTGTGCAACGCTCCCCTCAGCATTGACTGAGATTGCTTGCATGTATGTAGCACCTTCGTACGTGCTTATGGCTTCTCCCCACCACTCCTCCCCAGGCTTTGTCTCTTCAGCTGAAGTATTATTTATTGGTAAATAATTCAGGGACATACTCTGGTTTGTTTCTTTGTTGGGTCCTCAAAACTCTGCAGTTAATTTCCTTTCCAGCTTAATAGCTAATAGATAAAAGCTTTTCTCTCTCTGCCATGATACAGGTAATATTTATCTCTTGAAGTCTGTCTCCATATTTGGTGATTCATTGCTTTTTCCAGAATATAAATTACTTGCTTTAAAAAAACAATGGGGTATTTTTAATCATTAACCACATATTTGGGTTATAAAGGCTTTGAGCTGTTCATTGCTCTTGCTTTTAAAGAGCATAACAAAACCACAAGTGAAAGTGCCCTTAGCATGAAATGGAGAACTTGAGGCAACATGGATGAATTAGCTGATTTCTCACAGTCCTCACTACAAAGTGGGAAGGAGAAGGGGATACCTGGCAAAGTTATTGGGTCAAGGAGAGTTTGCCAGTCCTGAAGGTGTATTTTAGTCACATTTACTGTTCTGTGCAGCCACAGAAGAGGCAGAGGAGGCCTGTGTGGAAGAGGCAGACAGGTCAATGTTTGCCTGAGCGGGTAGGAAGAGATGTAGCGTTTTAAGGACGATGTTGTGTGCGTGTTCCAGACGAGGCACTTTGAGAGCCCCTACCTGGTGTATCACGAGAAGATCAAGACCAGCCGCGTGTTCATTCGGGACTGCAGTATGGTGTCGGTGTACCCGCTGGTCCTGCTGGGAGGTGGGCAGGTTCACATGCAGCTGCAGAAGGGAGAATTTGTCATTTCTCTTGATGATGGATGGATACGATTTGTGGCTGCCTCTCACCAGGTGAGGCAAAGGAGGGGCAATCCTGGGAGTGCTGCGGAGCTCTGCTGGTGTTCAGAATGCAGGAGCTGCATTTCATGAGCCTTCTGTGTTTCAGGTGGCTGAGCTGGTGAAAGAGCTGCGCTGTGAACTAGACCAGCTGCTGCAGGACAAAATCAAGAATCCCAGCATGGATTTATGCATATGCCCCCGTGGCTCCCGCATCATTGGCATGATTGTAAAGCTTGTGACCACACAGTAACGTGAGAACAGCTTTCTATAAAGACTCGTTGCCTGAGAACAAATGGAGTAACATCAGTGTCTTGATGTATTTGTTGTCCCAAAACGTGGCACTGATTCCTGGAAGACCAAGTTGGCAACTGTCCTACTGACAGGTTTTTTTGGTTTGCATTTTTTTTCCCTTTGTTTGCAGAGAGCTTCCTTGTTGGAGCCACCTTGTTGAAGGTGGCTTCCAGTACACTCTGGGAAATGGTAAACTGGCAAATCTTCCAGGAGGAACAGGAACCTCCGAGTAAGAAAGCAAAGTGGTTTTTTTATGAGGCTATATGCTGGCAATAGTGTTTTATGGTCACAAAAATACCTGCTACGTGGCGGCTGCTTGTAAGAGAAGGCTGTCTGGAGGCAGCATGTGACATCATAAGCTGCTCCATAATAATTGGTTTAAAATCACTTCTATATTTTTGTTCAGACAGTTTAGTCAGTTTTGGCTGACCAGCGGTCCGTTTGCTTGCAATTCAAGCCAAAGCCCTTAAAAAAGTGATTGCATTTTGATTTATGTCAAGGGGTTTTGAAATGGATTTAGAGGGCGTGAGGAAACCGTACCAGATCAGTTGGGGTAACTCGTTGGCTCCCTGCAGGCTCTTTGGGGTACAGTGCAAAACTATAGTAGAGTGTGGACATTTCCCCCGAAAGCCAGGCTTTCCCAGTGCCCCTGCCCCCCACACACAGTGAACAAGTAAAGCAGAGGAGCTGGACAGCTGTAGTGCATTCCAGAGGGATCCTTGGCTGGATGGTATCGCTCGCTGTTAACCCCCTACCACCCCTAACTAGGTTGTAGTCCTCCTGCTGCCTTGCACAGCTGGAAGGAAGTCCGACTTTTGGGAACTTCTAGCCAAACTCTTGTCTGGGGAGGGGGCTGCTACAGAGGAGTGTGGCAAAATGCTGTGATAATAATGAACTGTTAATTCTTCGCTTTGACACTGCTTAATTGCAATGCTGAGCATTGCTATAGCTGAACTGCTTGATGTACTAGCAACTGCAAATAATAGCAAGTGCCTTAAGTGACAGAAACTTGCTGTCATCTGTGATGTAGTAACCTCTGTCTCTACCACCAGCCCTGCCAAGAAAAAGCCTTCAGGCTGAGGACTAAGCAGCAGAGGAAGGCACAGTGGTTGTGGGCTAGCTCAGTTTTTCAAAAAAAACACACTTGAATGTTTGCAGAAGCAGTTTCACGGCAACACCCCCTCGCATGAGGAAGAAGCCAGGACTGCCAAGCCCAGCACATCAGTGCAGCAGAATACAGGTATGGTGAGCTGCACCTGGAGGCTTGGAGTTCTTTGAGGATTAGTGAGGAGCTGTTAGGGCCCAGGAATCCTGGGGCAGGGGTTTAAGGCACTGCAGAGGCACACAGACTGGTGTCAGCCATTAGCTCTGTGTGAAGTGGGACAGTTAGTGATGGTGTTGCTGTTGTGGGGGTAAGCAAAGAGGGGTTCTGTTCAGGTGGGTTGTGCTGTGTAGTAGGAACAGAGTCCATGTTTTCACCTCAGTCTTCCATGTGCTTTCAAAGTGGCGTCCTCTTGAATAAATGACTTCTCGGCAATCAGGTATTGGTGTTTTGGATGGAAACTAGTGCTCAAGCAGGGTCTGTAGAACACTTCCCCCCAGTACATGCTGAATTCCACCTGAGCTATCCCAAAGTGAAGATGAGGGCAAGGACAGCTGATGATGTAGCAGGTGATAATTAGCAGCATCCACCCTGCTCATAGTCCTTGGTGGCAGAAAGCACTGATAAACAGACATACTCAAAAGATGATGGTGGATACCCAACTGTGAGCACATGCCTCATGTATCACTGCCTGGGCTGCAGGGCCAGCTCTTACTTTAGGAGGGGTTCTGCCTAAAAGTGCCAAAACCAGGCTGACTCTCCCAGCAATTGCACATGCACTAATTGGGCACGGTGCTTTCGTTACTTGCTTCCTTCAGCATGTACATTCAACCAGCATATGAGCCAGCAGCGTGGCTAGGAAGGCCAACAGCATCCTGGCCTGTGTCAGGAACAGTGTAGCCAGCAGGGCTGGGGCAGTGACTGTCCCCCTGGACAGGGCACTGGTGAGGCCCCACCTCAAATGCTGTGTCCAGTTTTGGGGCCCCTCCCACAAGACAGACATTGAGGAGCTGGAGCGGGTCCAGAGAAGGGCAACAAAGATGGTGAGGGGTCTGGAGCACAAGTCTTGTGAGGAGCAGCTGGGGGTGTTCAGCCTGGAGAAAAGGAGGCTGAGGGGAGACCTTCTCGCTCTCTACAGCTCCCTGGAAGGAGGGTGTAGCCAGGGGGGGGTCAGTCTTCTCCCAAGTCCCAGGCGATGGGACAACAGGAAACAGCCTCAAGTTGCACCAGGGGAGGTTTACAAAGGATATTGGGAAAATTTTTTTACACTGAAAGGGTTGTCATGCCTTGGAAGGGGCTGCCCAGGGAAGTGGTGGAGTCACCATCCCTGGAGTATTTAAAAGATGGGTAGACATGATGATATGGGTCAGTGGTGTGGTGGCTTTTGTCAGCATTAGGTTGACAGCTGGACTCAAAAGGTCCCCACCAACCTGGAAAATTTTAGGATTCCGAGTGGAAAGACTGAAAAAGAAAGGTATCACTAGAGTTTTAGACTACAGGTTTATTGTGGAGTCAGCTTGCTTCAGCAGTACAGAATGAAGAGAAAAAGCTACCCCCCATTAGAGGTACTGTCGCGGGGGGTAATTTTACCCATACTAGAAGTTAATGGCAGTGTGGCAGAGGGAAGGGATGCTCACCTCAGCAATGTTTAGCAGTGACTTTTGGGTCACCCTAGTTTAATGCTGTTGCTTCCAGCTCCCTTTCCTGCAACTTATAATGGACTATGGTTATAACAATATTAACTGCAGCATCATCAGCAAGAAGCCACTTATCCTACTAAACACCGATGCTCTAAAATGTACAAACATGGGGGAGAGAGGGAAGGAAGAGACAAAACACATGCTGCAGTACACAAGAAAAGTCTTTGTGAACTCATGTATAGGGGTTATTATTTTTTAAATACCTAGACATCTTATAAAGCAACAATGACCAAAATTCATCTGAAAACCTGTGGTTGGGTGCACAAGCAGAGGAGAGCTGCAGTGCTCCACTGCAGAGTATCAAGCCACTGCTGAAAAACTAGAAGCCCCAAGAGAATTGCTGTAAGATACAGCAATATAGGCCAGAACACACTCTAAGGAAGACTTTTAGTCACAATCATGTGGCACTCTGAATTCTTCACTAGTTTGGTAATAGCCAAAGCTGCAAACACAAATCAAACTGGCAAATACCTTGCGGTAGTTTATCATACTTGTATTAAACCTTTCAGTAACCTCTCTGTGGTGAAATGGGGACCATCTGTACACAGGTAGCTACAGTCCAGTCTCCTAAAGCAACAACCCATCAGGACAGCAGCAAGTCCCTCGGTTAAACCACTGCCAAAGGAGAAGATGGGACCAGGCAGATCAAGTCAGATGGGTGTAATGTGAGCTCTTAATTCCCCTTCATGCTGCTTAAACATGACCTGCAGGTTCTGCTTGTGAATCCATAAGAAAAAATTTAATTTTCCTGAAAAGACTATCTAAATGTATTATCTTCTTCACCAGAACTGCCAATTTATCCTAAGTATCACAAAGAAGTACTACTTGGACAACCAGGACATAAAACAAGATTTCTAAAAATATTTACTTCAATAGTTTACATTCCAGAAGTATTCCAAATACCTTCAGGTGAGAAGTTCACTGGTCCTTTAATCAACAGGACAGACAGACCAGCTTTGACACATTCCTTGTTTTTTCCATCTGTTAATGCCCTTTGTAGACATTTTCATAAGTCCCATCAGCCAGACAGGTTTTCAGCGTCACCGAGTACTTTGAGGAGGTGCAAATAAAAACACAAGGTACAGATCACCACAACACTCAAGACTGAACAGCAAGAAGGATAGCTGGTACCGGTAACTCCCCTCTGGGACTGGTGCTCTACAGGACATCCTACAACAGGCCTGTGCAACAGCCAACAACTGGCTCCTGCGCTGCATTCCATTCACCAGTGCCTCCAACAGCCTGCCTCCTGCTTTGCGCCGCAGGAACACCTGACCTGCTCCAGCTACCCAAATATTAACAGAAACGGCAGGGTTATCACAAAATATTTCTTAGTTAGAAATGCACAGTTTATTTCAATGCACCAATAAAAAAAGCCCAACATTTCCAGATCACAGAACGTTAACACAACAAGAGAGTTTTGCATTAGTCTACTAATAAGACTTTTTAAAGATCCAGATTCATGCCAAATTGTTAGTCAATAGAAACAGCCTTCCAGGACTAAGCCCTTACATTTATAAAGACACCACAAAATCCCTTATAATAATGTAAACAAAATAAATTTTCTTCTTAAACTTTTTTAAATTTGAACCCATTCTTTCAGGACATGCACTCCTTCAAGGGCTTCCTGATGGTGAATGACTGAAATAGAAAGAAAAAGATTAAGAGCACTCCTACAACAAAGCCAACAGAAACTGTGGGTGCTACCTCAGGTTTCCTCTGCTCAGGAGCCCTCTCCCCTGCCTTACAATGCCCCTCCCCACAATTTTCATTTTTAGTTCATGAATAATGACGTAAGTGTTCTATTTTACCCCTTCATAAGTAACACCTGCTTTGAGCTTGAAAAGGGCAGACATCAGCTGCGACAGCTAGGTCAGTCATTGAGCCTGCTCAGAAAGCACCTTGGCGCCTGCAGGCCAGCTGTGCAGAGGAATTCTTACTCTACCAGAATCTACACAGTTCCAGTTTAGGGCTAGCCATGAGGCACTGTCTCAGACTAGGTAAATTCCAGCACATATTTCTCTGGTTACACAGGAAAACTTGCTTCTTACTTCACAGTGCATAGCTGCACAGCTGCCAAGTTTTGCTGAGAGCCAGCCATGATGAGCCACCAGCAGGAATTTAATCCCACAACGTATCGGTGGTTTGCTCCATACCTTACATTACTCACTTCTTTTCCAGATTCTGAATTCCCCAGGAACTTTGGGATAGTTGATTGAAGTAGGTACCTTATTATCATGAAGTTCTGACTACCAGTGGTAGGAAGTGCCCATAAAACTTCATCTTTTCACAGTTCACAAATTAAGGCGAGTAAAAACCTTTAAGCTTTTATCCCTGCACAAGTTAACTTCTATAGTAACCACTCCAGACACTAGCTCTATGTAACTGTATGGCACACACTTGTTTTAAGATATTCCTACCTTCTCTTTGGAGATGGTGATCTGGACTTTGAGCGACTGTTTAAAAAAAAAAAAACACAAACAACAAAAAAACAGACACAAACCAAAACAATCAATGCCGTGAACTTGTATACACTCAACCACTTTTGACCATTAAAAACCAGTAAGAAGAGTTTGATATTGTTAAATACATTAAAAGACACCACCCTTAATGCTGATAGCAAGTATACACAATTACTTTAAGCAAGAAGCTGCAGTGGAGAAGGAAAACTGCTGAAAGCCAGAGCCCTCAGGAAAAGAGCAACACATAACTTCAAAGTAGCTATAAAATGACCACAGGAACCCTGCGAAGCAGGAGCAGCAAATCAAGTGGAGATTTAGAAAGACTGAGAACTACAGACAGTTTAGAACAATGGTAGAGAAAGACAGGCCCCAAATCCTGTCAAAAATACTTTTTGTCATGATCGTGAGTTGAACAAAACCCTGTATCCACAATCCTTCTCAAAGAATTGCCTATTGTTCCACAAAAAATCAGCTATAAAAAACCCATAAAAATAATGTATGAAGAATATTTTAAAATCAACTATTAAAAAAAAAAAACAAACAACAAACACAAAACCAACCAAAAAAAAACCCACAACAACAATAAAAAAACACCTCTTCCACGTGCAACTGAAATACTGGTCCAAGCAGAAATTTTGGATCTTAACAAAAAAAAAAAAAAAAAACCAAAACCAAAACCAAAAACCAGAATGCTACTTGTATTGATACGCTCACCTTTTAGCAGGTAAGCCAGATTTAGATCTACCATGGGACCCAGACCTACAACAGGAGAAAAATAAAGCTCAGCAAAGCAGCCAGTGGCATGCACATACAGTGAAAGTTAGCTAACCAGCAACAGCAAATTCATACTACATAGCATCACAAAGCAGAGAGAGGAAGGCTGTGGTGCTACAGACTTCTCTTGTGATGTTTCAGGAGAACCCTTTAGCTCTGATCTCAGAGACCTCACTTATCAGAAGACAAGAGTACAAGCGCCAGAAGCTCCCCAGCAAAGCTTCAGCTACCACTTGCACAACACAGAAAACCCTGCGCCAGGCTCCCAGACTTTCTCCCCCCCTGCAAGTACCCCTCCTGTAAAGGAAAGAGTAGTTTCAAGTGCCATCTTAAAACACCTTTAAATCGCACTTTAAGAGCCTAGAATCAGGCCTCTGCGCTGAAGAGCTGACATACCCCTCAGATCAAGTCCCCAGTGCCACTTTTATTCAACTATAACATGGCTTTTTCATCAGTTCTCTCCATGAAAACAGCATTTCAGTTTTCTTTTCAGTATCTGGTTGCTAATGTGTAAAATATTCCCAGTTCATCTTATGAATTAAAGTCTGCTCAATCAGTGAGACTTTATTCCTACATTTATTGTGTTACATTACCAATCCCACTATTAGCTATTACTGAAAAAAAATTGTCAGAGCTTCAGAACTCAGGCATGTGGTATTGCTGAACATCAGAAAATTCAGTGTTCAAGACAGTCAGCTGTTTAATAGAATTGGCCAAAAGGAAGTAAGAAACTTTTACTCTGCTTCTGCTCAAAACTGTTTTTAAAAGGTAATCAAGATTCAACTTTACACGGCCTGTTAACTCGTAGAAATACTATGTGGACACTTTGAAACCTTCCTGGTCACTACTATGAGGCATCATCTCTTACAGTTCTTAACACTATAACCAGCAATTTTGTGGATGGAGTTGCTGACAACTACACAGAACTTGTGTTTTGTAGCATAAGCATGGTTTCTTTTGGTAAGAAATATAGTAAGGCAGCAGTCATCGTACTGCAAGAACTGATTGCAAGTCCTCTTTCTGAGAGGCATAGCAACAAACCAGGACTGAAGATCAAAAGCTCTAGAAGCAGCTCATGTACTAGTGTTTTGCTGCATTAGCAGAGGACCAGCACTGGCTAATACAGAAAAGAGCTTTCACAACGCTTCTGTGACTTCAGTCCTGCATGATCACTTCTCACACTGCAACTGCAGACCTTTGCTGACTCAGCATTTCTCAGGAATTTCAACATGAGTTGCAAGTCTTTCACGCAGGAACACGACTGTCCCAGAACCAGTAGTCACCAAACAACATCATCAGTATCCAGACTCTTCCACAGCAGCAGCATGCAGTTTGAGCCTGGCTAGTCACCCCCTGCATTACAGGCCTCTATGAGTAATAAATCAGGACAGCTCTAGTAATAACCATACCCTTAAAGGCTCAATGTGCAAGTCCTAAAGCAGCAGGCAGACCCCTAAAAATCTCTCCCCTGTTCTAATGCAAAACAAAAGGCAACATCCAACTTATAAGCTCTCATGTCCATCACATTGGCAATCTTACCATTACCGCCCCAACCCTTCCCAAGATTTGGGATTTACAAAAAAACCCAAACATGCCAAGAAAAAACCAAGCACCATTTCCTGCAGGACATACATGGCATTAACTGGTTTTCAAAACTTCTCCCCACAGCCTTTAAATCATATTGTGGGAAAATACCCACAAAGATCGGTGAGGAGGACTGTAAAAATGCTCAACTGATTTGCAGCTGAGGTGTTGAAAAAACACATGCCATACTAATTGTTGTTTAGCCTTGTGTGTTGGACAAGTGTAACATCTGTGTTTAGGTAACCCAGACTCAGAGGCACCCTATGGAACATCCCTGAGACTCCTGCCCTGCTGTGGAACAGACCAACACAGAGCAGTCACCTGCGCCTGCACCAACCCCCGAGAAACAGGTAAAAGCAGCAGGTTTGTTGATCCTCTAGCAGGGATCAAAGCCTGCAGTGCTTATGTTCCCACTTGTGTGCCTCTGCCCAAGGATCCCCTGGCTGCCAAGGTAATGAATACAAAAATTTACTCTTTGCACTTCATCCATGGTTTTGTCACTGTTCCTGTGTACTGCCTGTGCTGGTCGCACACATGTCTATGCTTTGTTTATGGCTACGTATACATGGAGTAGCCACAGACTAAAAACCCTTATGTTTATTCCAAGAGAATGACCGCTACTTTACCCTGTGAAAAGGCATAAATTATTAACGTTAAGCACAAATCTTGCCATGCTTCACAACCTTCTAACCCCTTCCAGCCAAATTCCCCACGGGAAGAAAAAAACCCAACACCCAATCCCCCCCAAAAACCCAAAACTATTACTTATTTGAAATAAAGCTTACCTGCTTCGAGGCCATACAACAGACCGGGACCTTGAGCGTGATCTGGACCTAGATCTAGAAAAAAGCAGTGAAAGCTCAACTACTACTACATGATTCATGCATCATGATGAGCTGAGATACTATTCTTTGACTTCTAGGATACTGACCGCGGAGAATTTTGTTACAACTACTAGTTTTGCAGAAGTAAACAACTTTTATTTCATTTTATTTAACTGGAGTACATTTGGCCCAGTACTACCACCCACATAAAAAAAAATCCCACTGCCCTAATCAACTAAGCATAATTACTGTCTGTATCCTTAAAGGTGAAGAAGGAAACCTTAACCACAGATCAACTTTGGTACAGTATTAAAAAAAGAAAAACACAGAAATAGCAGTTCCAAAATTAAGTTTAAGCTTTTAACTTCAAAGAAAGTATTCAGAATAGCTCTCAGAGATGTATCACCACAAAGGTTCCTGGAAACACATGGACTGTAAATGACAAACTTAACATTAAGTCCAACAGATATGCTTCGTTCAACAATGATGTGGCCTTATTAGAAATCGCATACCTTGACCTCCTTAAAGAACCAGACCGAGATCTGCGGGGTGAAAATGATCTATACCTGCGAGGAGACATTGACCTAGACCTGCGGTAGGAAGCTGACCTTGATCTACAAAACAAAGAGTGAAAAAAAAACACCAGAATGACTTCAAGGTGCTTTTCACAAGGTTACAGAAAGCAATGAAACAGAGGAAAAAGAAAAAGTACAAAAGCACAACAGCCAGAATCCTACCTCCTACCACGACTCCGACTGCGTGACCGAGAATACCTTCTTCCACGGGACCTTGAACGGGATCTAGACCGCGACCTGGTTTTAGGTTAGAGAAAACAGGTATCAGGAAACAGCGGCAGCAATCAGTGCACGTGAGGCCCTGCTGAAGTCAAAACTGATTTCAGACAACTAAAAAGAAAGAAAAAAAAAACAAAAAATAAAACAAAAAAAGCAAACAAACAAAAAAAAACCAAACCAAAGTAACAAAAACCACACCACTAGCATCTGTCAGTTGGAAAAATCTCTGGGCCTACTCGTCTTGAGCATTTTACTACCTAGAAAAATGTTAAAAGCTGAATTACATTGCAGAATTACATTAGAATAGAAAACACTGTAATGCGTATTTAAAATAAACCTTGCAAGTTTGCAGGTCGACCCTCTTTGGCCCAAGGTCTAGCAGATCTAGACGGTCTAGAAGTATCTATAGCCGATCGCTGCATCTAGGTGTTCTCTTCAATCTAACGACGATCAAACTGACAGCCCAATGAGCCAGGGTGAGGCTTGATTGACGCAAGAAGATTTTTCTAGGTGGGAATGTGGTCAATCTGGTGTTCCTCTTTCTAAACCGGAGGGGGGCCCCAATTGAAAGCCAAATTTACTGTTACGGCGATCACCGTCTCAAATTTTCTGCCCTTAAAGAATAAGGTGAAGCTACGTGTAGATGGCTCGAGGGGATCTGGCCTCTTATGCTGATCACCTCAAGGTCTAGGAGGATCTTAAGTGTCGGATTTGCAAGGCGCCTCAGCATGAAATCTTAAGGCTCGTGACATTCTGAATCAAGGCGACTGACTCAAACGAAGAAACCTGAAAGGTTTTGACCAGGTTGATTATTAAGATATTAACATTTCATATGTATTAGCAAAAAAAAAAGTGATATACACCTGTTGACTTACAACATTAAGAGTTTCAGCAAAGCAGCCAGTGGCATGCACATACAGTGAAAGTTAGCTAACCAGCAACAGCAAATTCATACTACATAGCATCACAAAGCAGAGAGAGGAAGGCTGTGGTGCTACAGACTTCTCTTGTGATGTTTCAGGAGAACCCTTTAGCTCTGATCTCAGAGACCTCACTTATCAGAAGACAAGAGTACAAGCGCCAGAAGCTCCCCAGCAAAGCTTCAGCTACCACTTGCACAACACAGAAAACCCTGCGCCAGGCTCCCAGACTTTCTCCCCCCCTGCAAGTACCCCTCCTGTAAAGGAAAGAGTAGTTTCAAGTGCCATCTTAAAACACCTTTAAATCGCACTTTAAGAGCCTAGAATCAGGCCTCTGCGCTGAAGAGCTGACATACCCCTCAGATCAAGTCCCCAGTGCCACTTTTATTCAACTATAACATGGCTTTTTCATCAGTTCTCTCCATGAAAACAGCATTTCAGTTTTCTTTTCAGTATCTGGTTGCTAATGTGTAAAATATTCCCAGTTCATCTTATGAATTAAAGTCTGCTCAATCAGTGAGACTTTATTCCTACATTTATTGTGTTACATTACCAATCCCACTATTAGCTATTACTGAAAAAAAATTGTCAGAGCTTCAGAACTCAGGCATGTGGTATTGCTGAACATCAGAAAATTCAGTGTTCAAGACAGTCAGCTGTTTAATAGAATTGGCCAAAAGGAAGTAAGAAACTTTTACTCTGCTTCTGCTCAAAACTGTTTTTAAAAGGTAATCAAGATTCAACTTTACACGGCCTGTTAACTCGTAGAAATACTATGTGGACACTTTGAAACCTTCCTGGTCACTACTATGAGGCATCATCTCTTACAGTTCTTAACACTATAACCAGCAATTTTGTGGATGGAGTTGCTGACAACTACACAGAACTTGTGTTTTGTAGCATAAGCATGGTTTCTTTTGGTAAGAAATATAGTAAGGCAGCAGTCATCGTACTGCAAGAACTGATTGCAAGTCCTCTTTCTGAGAGGCATAGCAACAAACCAGGACTGAAGATCAAAAGCTCTAGAAGCAGCTCATGTACTAGTGTTTTGCTGCATTAGCAGAGGACCAGCACTGGCTAATACAGAAAAGAGCTTTCACAACGCTTCTGTGACTTCAGTCCTGCATGATCACTTCTCACACTGCAACTGCAGACCTTTGCTGACTCAGCATTTCTCAGGAATTTCAACATGAGTTGCAAGTCTTTCACGCAGGAACACGACTGTCCCAGAACCAGTAGTCACCAAACAACATCATCAGTATCCAGACTCTTCCACAGCAGCAGCATGCAGTTTGAGCCTGGCTAGTCACCCCCTGCATTACAGGCCTCTATGAGTAATAAATCAGGACAGCTCTAGTAATAACCATACCCTTAAAGGCTCAATGTGCAAGTCCTAAAGCAGCAGGCAGACCCCTAAAAATCTCTCCCCTGTTCTAATGCAAAACAAAAGGCAACATCCAACTTATAAGCTCTCATGTCCATCACATTGGCAATCTTACCATTACCGCCCCAACCCTTCCCAAGATTTGGGATTTACAAAAAAACCCAAACATGCCAAGAAAAAACCAAGCACCATTTCCTGCAGGACATACATGGCATTAACTGGTTTTCAAAACTTCTCCCCACAGCCTTTAAATCATATTGTGGGAAAATACCCACAAAGATCGGTGAGGAGGACTGTAAAAATGCTCAACTGATTTGCAGCTGAGGTGTTGAAAAAACACATGCCATACTAATTGTTGTTTAGCCTTGTGTGTTGGACAAGTGTAACATCTGTGTTTAGGTAACCCAGACTCAGAGGCACCCTATGGAACATCCCTGAGACTCCTGCCCTGCTGTGGAACAGACCAACACAGAGCAGTCACCTGCGCCTGCACCAACCCCCGAGAAACAGGTAAAAGCAGCAGGTTTGTTGATCCTCTAGCAGGGATCAAAGCCTGCAGTGCTTATGTTCCCACTTGTGTGCCTCTGCCCAAGGATCCCCTGGCTGCCAAGGTAATGAATACAAAAATTTACTCTTTGCACTTCATCCATGGTTTTGTCACTGTTCCTGTGTACTGCCTGTGCTGGTCGCACACATGTCTATGCTTTGTTTATGGCTACGTATACATGGAGTAGCCACAGACTAAAAACCCTTATGTTTATTCCAAGAGAATGACCGCTACTTTACCCTGTGAAAAGGCATAAATTATTAACGTTAAGCACAAATCTTGCCATGCTTCACAACCTTCTAACCCCTTCCAGCCAAATTCCCCACGGGAAGAAAAAAACCCAACACCCAATCCCCCCCAAAAACCCAAAACTATTACTTATTTGAAATAAAGCTTACCTGCTTCGAGGCCATACAACAGACCGGGACCTTGAGCGTGATCTGGACCTAGATCTAGAAAAAAGCAGTGAAAGCTCAACTACTACTACATGATTCATGCATCATGATGAGCTGAGATACTATTCTTTGACTTCTAGGATACTGACCGCGGAGAATTTTGTTACAACTACTAGTTTTGCAGAAGTAAACAACTTTTATTTCATTTTATTTAACTGGAGTACATTTGGCCCAGTACTACCACCCACATAAAAAAAAATCCCACTGCCCTAATCAACTAAGCATAATTACTGTCTGTATCCTTAAAGGTGAAGAAGGAAACCTTAACCACAGATCAACTTTGGTACAGTATTAAAAAAAGAAAAACACAGAAATAGCAGTTCCAAAATTAAGTTTAAGCTTTTAACTTCAAAGAAAGTATTCAGAATAGCTCTCAGAGATGTATCACCACAAAGGTTCCTGGAAACACATGGACTGTAAATGACAAACTTAACATTAAGTCCAACAGATATGCTTCGTTCAACAATGATGTGGCCTTATTAGAAATCGCATACCTTGACCTCCTTAAAGAACCAGACCGAGATCTGCGGGGTGAAAATGATCTATACCTGCGAGGAGACATTGACCTAGACCTGCGGTAGGAAGCTGACCTTGATCTACAAAACAAAGAGTGAAAAAAAAACACCAGAATGACTTCAAGGTGCTTTTCACAAGGTTACAGAAAGCAATGAAACAGAGGAAAAAGAAAAAGTACAAAAGCACAACAGCCAGAATCCTACCTCCTACCACGACTCCGACTGCGTGACCGAGAATACCTTCTTCCACGGGACCTTGAACGGGATCTAGACCGCGACCTGGTTTTAGGTTAGAGAAAACAGGTATCAGGAAACAGCGGCAGCAATCAGTGCACGTGAGGCCCTGCTGAAGTCAAAACTGATTTCAGACAACTAAAAAGAAAGAAAAAAAAAACAAAAAATAAAACAAAAAAAGCAAACAAACAAAAAAAAACCAAACCAAAGTAACAAAAACCACACCACTAGCATCTGTCAGTTGGAAAAATCTCTGGGCCTACTCGTCTTGAGCATTTTACTACCTAGAAAAATGTTAAAAGCTGAATTACATTGCAGAATTACATTAGAATAGAAAACACTGTAATGCGTATTTAAAATAAACCTTGCAAGTTTGCAGGTCGACCCTCTTTGGCCCAAGGTCTAGCAGATCTAGACGGTCTAGAAGTATCTATAGCCGATCGCTGCATCTAGGTGTTCTCTTCAATCTAACGACGATCAAACTGACAGCCCAATGAGCCAGGGTGAGGCTTGATTGACGCAAGAAGATTTTTCTAGGTGGGAATGTGGTCAATCTGGTGTTCCTCTTTCTAAACCGGAGGGGGGCCCCAATTGAAAGCCAAATTTACTGTTACGGCGATCACCGTCTCAAATTTTCTGCCCTTAAAGAATAAGGTGAAGCTACGTGTAGATGGCTCGAGGGGATCTGGCCTCTTATGCTGATCACCTCAAGGTCTAGGAGGATCTTAAGTGTCGGATTTGCAAGGCGCCTCAGCATGAAATCTTAAGGCTCGTGACATTCTGAATCAAGGCGACTGACTCAAACGAAGAAACCTGAAAGGTTTTGACCAGGTTGATTATTAAGATATTAACATTTAATAGAAATAGCAACAAATTTTAATATACACCTATACATTCATTCTAGCGTTAACGTTTAAAGAAAACTGGTGTAACATTCTGTTCTTTGCTAACAAGAGCTACACAAAAGCGCACCGGTGAAGCAACCCAGCCGCTCTGGCCCCACACATACCTGCTCCTCCTTCGGCGACTATAGCGGTGACAATCATAAGCATAGTGGCCTTTCTCACCACACTCATAGCATCTGTCGTTAGGGTCAAAGGGGCGTCGTGCAGGAGGCCTGTCGTAACGAGAGCGACGAGGCATCCCTGTTGACACTTCCACTCTCACCCTGGAGCCACATATAATCCTGCAATACACAGTATGCGTTATCCACAGGAATATTTTTCTCCCGTGTGCTCGTTGCACACGGAACAGCTATCAGTGCTTGGTGTGGGCTGAGGAGGTCAGAACTGCAAACAGAGCAGTCGAGGAGGTTTTAGGTGTGCACATACTTCCCATCGAGGCCGAGCACAGCATCTTCAGCATCCCTCGGGTCTTCAAACTCACCTCCTACCACGACTCCGACTGCGTGACCGAGAATACCTTCTTCCACGGGACCTTGAACGGGATCTAGACCGCGACCTGGTTTTAGGTTAGAGAAAACAGGTATCAGGAAACAGCGGCAGCAATCAGTGCACGTGAGGCCCTGCTGAAGTCAAAACTGATTTCAGACAACTAAAAAGAAAGAAAAAAAAAACAAAAAATAAAACAAAAAAAGCAAACAAACAAAAAAAAACCAAACCAAAGTAACAAAAACCACACCACTAGCATCTGTCAGTTGGAAAAATCTCTGGGCCTACTCGTCTTGAGCATTTTACTACCTAGAAAAATGTTAAAAGCTGAATTACATTGCAGAATTACATTAGAATAGAAAACACTGTAATGCGTATTTAAAATAAACCTTGCAAGTTTGCAGGTCGACCCTCTTTGGCCCAAGGTCTAGCAGATCTAGACGGTCTAGAAGTATCTATAGCCGATCGCTGCATCTAGGTGTTCTCTTCAATCTAACGACGATCAAACTGACAGCCCAATGAGCCAGGGTGAGGCTTGATTGACGCAAGAAGATTTTTCTAGGTGGGAATGTGGTCAATCTGGTGTTCCTCTTTCTAAACCGGAGGGGGGCCCCAATTGAAAGCCAAATTTACTGTTACGGCGATCACCGTCTCAAATTTTCTGCCCTTAAAGAATAAGGTGAAGCTACGTGTAGATGGCTCGAGGGGATCTGGCCTCTTATGCTGATCACCTCAAGGTCTAGGAGGATCTTAAGTGTCGGATTTGCAAGGCGCCTCAGCATGAAATCTTAAGGCTCGTGACATTCTGAATCAAGGCGACTGACTCAAACGAAGAAACCTGAAAGGTTTTGACCAGGTTGATTATTAAGATATTAACATTTAATAGAAATAGCAACAAATTTTAATATACACCTATACATTCATTCTAGCGTTAACGTTTAAAGAAAACTGGTGTAACATTCTGTTCTTTGCTAACAAGAGCTACACAAAAGCGCACCGGTGAAGCAACCCAGCCGCTCTGGCCCCACACATACCTGCTCCTCCTTCGGCGACTATAGCGGTGACAATCATAAGCATAGTGGCCTTTCTCACCACACTCATAGCATCTGTCGTTAGGGTCAAAGGGGCGTCGTGCAGGAGGCCTGTCGTAACGAGAGCGACGAGGCATCCCTGTTGACACTTCCACTCTCACCCTGGAGCCACATATCACCCTGCAACAAGTCGAGGATGGCTCTAAATTAATCGTTACTGTTTATGGCAGAACTACAAAGAGGAGAATAACCAGTGAGAAAACCTCGATTCTCTCCCTGGTATTAAAACTGGCCACAGCTCCCACAAACACTTGAAGCACACACATACTTCCCATCAAGTCCGCGGACAGCATCCTCAGCATCCCTCGGGTCTTCAAACTCCACGAAGGCAAACCCCGGCGGGTTCCTCGCGATCCACACGGTTCTCAGGGGGCCGTAGTAGCTGAAGGCTCTCTCCAGCTCGCCCTTGCCCGCGCCCGTGCCCAGGTTCCCCACGTACACCTTGGTCTCTGCCGGGAGCGAAGCCGGTATCAGCGTCGGATCAAGAGCGGGCTTAGGCGACGCGGGGAGACGGGCCCCCGCCCCCGGGCGCCGCCATCTTGTTGGCGCGACCCGCTCCCGCCTTCACCACGATTTATATAGAGGAAGCCGCCGCCGCGCCTGCGCCCCGCGCTCCGGCCGCCACACGGGGGGCGGGCTCCGGTCGCTGGGCAACGGGGGCGGGGTCGCCGCGTGGGGGCGGGGCGCGGTCCTCGCGCGCGGGCGGGTCTCGCGAGAACGTGGCGTCGCCTCTCAGCGGTGTGGCCCGGGGCGGGGCGGTTCCCTCCGAGGCTGCCGGCCGTGCGGGGCCGGTAACGTGCCTCCCGTAGGGCTGCTGGTGCGGGCGAGGCTCCTCACGGGCACAGGCCATGGTCGCTCGCCCCAGGGCGGCCCCACGCGAGAGCTCTCCCCGGAGCGCGCCCGGCCGTGAGGAAGGCAGGGCGGTGCCGAGGGGATGGGGTCACGAGTCGTCACCCCTCAGCCAGTCAGCTCCTGGCCTTGCTGGGACCGGAAGCGAAGGAGCCTGCCGGGCTCCTTATTCCCTCGTGAGTAGACTTTGCGCTCCCTGTTACGAGGCATTATTAAGCTGTTCTTAAATCTCTAATGGAGTTCGGTCTGATGCCAGCTCTCACACCAAATGCATCCCACCTGGGTGCACTGGATCACCGAGGGGCATAGCCCAGTCAGTCCCCTCCCCCAGACACGCAGCTGAAGCATTTGTGCATTGGCATCTACCACCCTTCTCAGGGAGACACAGGACACAATGCTAGAGAAACCGCTGCCTGAGCGCTCACACCCTGTCCCAGAAGCGGCACACACACCACCCCCGTCTGGCACTGCCAGGACCAGGGTCCCTTTGCAGTGCGCAACCCCCTGGAGTCGAGGGACATCCCTTCCCACTCCACACACACACACACACACTCTCAGGCACACTCCCTCCTTCAGGCTCCACATTAGGCTTCCCACAGCAGTGTCTCAGGCATCGGATTTTATAAAAATAAACAATTTAATTGAAAGGTACAGCAGCAGGGTCAGAGTGGGCTGGGTGTCTCCGAAAAGGAAGGGACCTGAAACAAAGAAATCCCTGGACTATTATACCCCTGCTATTATACACCTACCCCTCAGGCACTGTTCAGGCATCTTTCAGTCCAATGGTGATTTATGGTCTGGGGTTTTCTTAAACCTTTCTGGGCTCTTTATCTGTGTCCAGACTTGCCGATCCTCAAGTCATTAGCATCAGCATGACCCAGTCTCTGCTGGTAGCTGTAGCCTCCTCCTCAGCTTCTGGTTTATGCTGCTTGTGCACCAGAGCTTGCTGGCAGAACCCAGGGAACTGAAAAAGCCCCAGACTTAGAGAAAACACCACCAAAACACCTGTGTGTTATCAATATTTTTCTTACACTGAAAGACTAAACACAGCAGTCTACTAGCTGCTAGGAAAATTACTAAGAAAATTAATTCTATTGCAGCCTCAAGGCTTCAGCAAATCTAGCTACTTTAAGTAAAACTAAGCAAACAGCATAGATCACGCCATATTATAACCCTAAATAATTTATTCTAATTAAAACTTATTTAAGCGAAACAACTAATATCTCTCAACAAGAGCATAAGTACAGTAGAGGATTTTTAAGAAGTCAGCATGAATCTGACCAATCCAAAGTAATTTTAAATAAACCATAGCAGGAACAAGGAGGGCCCTTCACTAACCAGGGTTAGACAGACTTTTCAAATGCATCTGAGCACACTAACGTGTTCTTTGTTGCTATCTCATAATAAGACAGAATAAATCAATACACCAAGAGATAAATGAGGGCTCTAAAGGCTCCTGACTGGATTAATAATCTCAGGAATAATCACATCATGATTCTTACATTGTGTGTTGCCATAAAATAGAAACAAAGCATTAAGAAACACAAACTTAGAATTTCTTGCAATTCACTAAGGAACAAATATCTTCCAATCACTGCTACTCTAAAATAGCAAATATAGGAAATGTTTTTTAGAACCTGGTATTTGCCTGCTGACTTTCCCTAATAATTTTACAACCTTGGACCGATGTTATTATTCATGTTCCAGAACAGGAGAACAGTTGTGAGAAAAAAAAAGCAACACAACTTTCTGAACAATTTTTTCATCTGGTTCGGGAATTTCAAGTGTCACAATTCCTTTTCAGAAAAAAATAAATCTGGTAAGCAATTCAAATAAATATGCCTAGATAATTAATTTTAAAGGCAGAGGAGAACACAGTTTAAATTTGTCGTATATCATCTTCCACAATACTGTTACAAAAAATACTTATATAGTAAACTGATACATCAGTTTAATACATCATTATTATACAATGGCTTGCTTTCAATAAAATAATAGTGCATAGAAAATGCTTTGTGCTTTTAGTTTATGCTGCTTGTTTTATCCCTTTCCTAACCTACAAAAATCAGACAAAAGAACCTAACCCCAGAATTTTTGCAAATAGTGAATATTGACACTCAGGACAGTTCCTACAATAGGGTGGGTAGACCCATGCCTAAAGACAATTGCTTTAAACAGCAGATATCACTGCTGTTTTTCAAGATAGCCCTGTATCAAGCCTTGAACTCGAGACAGAATAATCTCATTGGAGCTGCTGCACTCTTCTGGGCTGTATGGTGGGTCAATAGTTAATACCCCTGCCACACATAGCGTTCTTCCCGATTCACCTTGCTCTGTTACAGGAATGTGGTTTGTTTCTAGCCAAGTCTTCAAGTCATTCTTCCTCTTTTCGAGTTCCTCTGGGCTGTAGGCTTTGCTTTCTTCAGGCGCAAATATGCAAGAAAGCCGTTGCTTCATTTCGTCGTCCCCTTCTCTCAGTACTTCGACCTCCTGGACAGCATGACCCAAGACAACTGATATGGACACTTTTTCATTCTCCAGGAATGTTGCAAGGACAATACTGACAAGCAAAGAATAATGTATGAGTCACTGTACTGAACTGAAGACTGAGAAACACAGGCCAAGAATCTTGGAGGTGAGCGCTCATTAGCATCAGCGTGACCCAGGTATTTAGGCAACATTGAGTATTTTTCTTGAAAAGCATGCTGCTATACCCTGAAAATACTGGAAATATGGGGCTTTGCAGGTAACTTCTGGCCTTGAATTTGAAACTACACTAGATGCTATCACACAGAATGTTCCTTTAAAAAGGCAAAACGTGCATTGAAACAGGGCTGGGAATGTAAATAGCAGCACTCCCAACCTTGCTAAAGAACCCTAAGTCTTCCAACATTCAAAAACAACAGTACTTTTATACATTCAGCACTTTGAATGCTGAAGGGGATGGCGGCAGCTAACAACATTAGAACCTTTTCGTAACAAATTATTAATATTTAATTTTTGAACATTACTAAAAGAATATTTTTTTTTCAATGACTGTTGTTAGTTTCTTAACTGAAAACTATAGCTTGAGTATTACAATGGGAACACAGCACAGCAGGTTCAGGCTCCTACTGTAGCAGCCTGGTCTCGTCCCAAGGGCATTTACATCCCAAAAGTCATAAAATACAGGTAGGATATTTCTAGGCTCTCTTCGCCATATATCAGCAAAGAGGATCAGAAACCATTCTCTCCCTCTTGTGAGAGGAAAAATTCCAGAATTTCATGCCAACACTTTGCTAATCTACTACTGCCACCATTACTGAAGTAATGGCTTCTCAGGAAATGTACATTGAAATATGCCTTGATCTTAGCCTGGGCCTCAGCCAGAATCACTCACAGCTATGTGCACCTTTCCTACCAAAATAATAAGCAACTCCGAGAGAACATTTGAGTATCAGAGCTACTCCAGAGTTGAAGCAACAACCAATTCTTCTGAAACACATCAGAAGCTGGATGTTTCAGTTTCTAGCCTCCTCCTTGAGATCACATGGGACAAGCTCACAACCAAAAAGGTATGAAATAGGTCTGGCAGCAAGGAGCCAAATTTCTGAGTATTCCCTGGTGTATTCTGCCTTTCAAACCATGTTTTCAAGTTAATAGAGAACTGTAGTACTGTTACTGCAAACCAGCAGATAAAATTTCTAAGACTTAGTTTTAGAAAACAGACATTCTTTATTGCGGCACCGGGTGCACAGGGGATCACTCCTCCTATTGTGCACAGCGAATGCTGTCGTCAAGCCGAATTTATACATAGGAGGCATACATATTCAATATAATTCCAAGAAAACATTAGTATATTCATTACATTGTCAGGAATTCGTTTACATATTATAATGAGCTCGTGGGCATGTGTAGTCATGCCTTCTGGTGGTCCTCATTTTGAGTGAGGGTCATTTCTTCCTCAATCTTCATCTTCCTCATCTGTCCTTTGGCTCACTTTTCATGTTGGCAAAACATTCTAACTGCTTAATTAGCTATTAAAACTAATGATCTTCCTGCTACCACCTGTTTGTCAGACAATGTCCATATTTATTGCATCCTTGTCTTAGGCCACCGTGTTCTCAAGGCCACATAAATCCTTTCTTATCTTACTAAGTCCTTGAAATGATTTGGGATGGTTACCAAAATAGCTACATTTCTTCTCTAAAAGAACATTCCCTACAGTTTAACCATTTATGGAATACTGCAGTCTGCTTTAGGTATCAGTACCACCTTCTATTCAATACCCTTGACTGAAGTTCCCTGCTTCCTCTCCAAAGTAGTGACTCCACCCTCCCCAGCTGGAGGGGAAAGCAGGACATTGATGTGAGAACTCTGGACATAGGAAAAGGATTTGAACACCTAAAGCATTAAAAACATTCTGGCAGGCCTGCTCTCTCTGTGAAGCAGGGCTCGGTATATTATTAAAATTAATCCTAAACACATAGTCATTTAAAGTACTAACCTCAGGTCCACAATAAAGTCAGCATGAACCCAGGAATTATCCATTCCCCAAACTTATCAGTCTTTGAATAAGATTAAAGTGGATTTAGATTAACTGACCTCATCAACTACAATATTGCTTTCTCTTAGGCCTTGACAAAAAAACAGGACACACAGCCCCAACTTGCAGTTTTTGCTTGAAATGTTTGCTTCAGTCTTGGGATCTTTTCTCTTCCTGAAAAACTTTTCTCCTAGCTCTACAGAAGCGAAAGCTTTGGTACTTACCTGGCAGAAACTGGATCAACTGTTAAGACCCATCCTTCATATTCATGTTTCTCAACTGCAGCAACTTTCACCATTTTGTTCACAAGTGTTTTCCACTCTAGAGGGCTTTTCTTCTGCCAGTCATTCATATTTCTTACATCCAGAACCTAGAACATAGCCAGAGCAATTAGCAGAAGCAACGGATCCTCGTGCTTTGCCCTTCATATCAGAACTGAGTTTGCCTGCAGGTAAAGATCTTACATTCATCTTAAGCACAAATTGCTTTTTTTTTAAAAAGCAAACATCCACACAAGCGTTTTGCATATGGCTGCAGTTCCATAATTTCCCACCCAGTTCACTTGTTTATAAAGGCGTGCAGCAAAGCCTCAAAAAATCACTGTTCTGCTAATATAACGCTTTCCTCTTGCAGTTAACATACCATTTATTGCCCTGCCCTCTTCCAAAACCTTGGGGACCCCTGTCCCCGGAGAGCAGAAATTTACCAGCTTTGCTGTGTGCTCCCTGGTGTGCAGGGGGCCCGGCTCACCGCCCCGAGGGGTAGGGAGCCCCCCGCACCCCTTCACCCGCCCGGCCCCCACCGCAGCTCGGGGGGAGGCGGGGAACGCAGGGCTGCCGAGGCAGGGAAACGCTCGGGCGCTTTATAAACACGGCTGTGCCTATCCATTACATGGAACACAAAAAATAGGAGTGGTATAAAATACGTTAGTCTTATTTTAAGGAGGTAATTTCCCCCCCCCCCTTTCTTTTTTTTCTGGTGAAGCTTCACTTCAACTCCCACAGTGCTGTGGGCGTTATTTATGAATGGCTGATGCCACTGTATTCATCTACTGTGTTCTTTCAGGGCAACAGTTTATTAGAAAGCAGAGATTAGCAAAGCGTTTCCATTTTAAGAGCAAGCCACACAACGGGAAATCTTAGTTTCTGTTTGAAAAAAAGGTGGAAAGAAGAAATGTGTTTTGCTTTCATGTATTTACATGCACAGCGCAATTTAGTTGTGGTCGAAAAAGCTTCCTAACTGGTCCCTTTCTGGATCAGAGACCAGTAGGTGGTTTGTTCAGTCTCTTTTGAGCAAAACACTCCAAGCATCTTCGCTTTTAACTGTTTCTAGTCTCGGTCCCCCTCCCTCTCCCCTGCCCCCCGCATTGGTGCCGGTGTAGTTATTTAACCGTTCTGAACCACGAAGCCCTGAAGCACTTTTTGTCCTGGCGCCCAAGCAGGACCGACAGAGGTCACTACCGGGGGCTCCACACTGCAGCTTCCCCTCCCACCGCCGGCTCCACTGCAACCACGGCCGGCCGCGCTCCCGACCCGACCAGCTGTGCAACTGGGCGCTCCTGGCGCGGATCCTTCCCTCACCGCGCGATTCGAGGGACAAAACCCACTTTTCTGGTGTGAGGGCGATGCTGCGCTGTTGTCCTCAGGCGACGGTGCCCTTCCGGGCGGAACAACACGGGCCCTAAACCGGGCCCGGGCCAGCACCGGTTCCCGGGCCTTCGCTGCGGAGGCGCCTTCCCGCCGCGGCTCGCTCCCGCCCCGCCCCGTCACCGTGGCGACCAGGTCCCGGCCGCCCGCCCTGCCTGCCCTGGCGCGCATGCGCGCCGCCGGGGGAAGGCGGAGGGGAGGACGGGGGCAGGCGCGTGCGTGCGGCGCGTGCGCGCGGCGCGGCAGTTGGCGGAACCGTTGGGATGTCGCGTTACGGCCGCTATGGAGGCGGTGAGCTGCTGGGGCCTGGCCGGCGGGGGGGGACGGCTGTGCGGCGGGGAGGGCGAGGGCGGTTCGCGGAAGGGGAGATTGCCGCGGAGGGGGGGAGGGAGAAAGGGCGGCGCGGCGGGCAGGCCGCCGCCGCCGCCCTGGGTACGCGGGCCCGCCGAAGAGCGAACCCTGACGGGGAAGCGGCGGGAGGAGGGACGGCGCGGCGGTGGCGGGAGCCCCCAAAATGGAGGCGGTGTCAAAGATGGCGGCGGGCGGCGGGGGGAGGGGCGGCGGCCGGAGCGCCGCGCGGGCCGCCTGAGAGCCCTGCGCCTGCGCGCTGGGGCCGGCCCCGGCCCTGACATGGCGTCCCTCCCGGCAGAGACCAAGGTGTACGTGGGGAACCTGGGCACGGGCGCGGGCAAGGGCGAGCTGGAGAGAGCCTTCAGCTACTACGGCCCCCTGAGAACCGTGTGGATCGCGAGGAACCCGCCGGGGTTTGCCTTCGTGGAGTTTGAAGACCCGAGGGATGCTGAGGATGCTGTCCGCGGACTTGATGGGAAGTATGTGTGTGCTTCAAGTGTTTGTGGGAGCTGTGGCCAGTTTTAATACCAGGGAGAGAATCGAGGTTTTCTCACTGGTTATTCTCCTCTTTGTAGTTCTGCCATAAACAGTAACGATTAATTTAGAGCCATCCTCGACTTGTTGCAGGGTGATATGTGGCTCCAGGGTGAGAGTGGAAGTGTCAACAGGGATGCCTCGTCGCTCTCGTTACGACAGGCCTCCTGCACGACGCCCCTTTGACCCTAACGACAGATGCTATGAGTGTGGTGAGAAAGGCCACTATGCTTATGATTGTCACCGCTATAGTCGCCGAAGGAGGAGCAGGTATGTGTGGGGCCAGAGCGGCTGGGTTGCTTCACCGGTGCGCTTTTGTGTAGCTCTTGTTAGCAAAGAACAGAATGTTACACCAGTTTTCTTTAAACGTTAACGCTAGAATGAATGTATAGGTGTATATTAAAATTTGTTGCTATTTCTATTAAATGTTAATATCTTAATAATCAACCTGGTCAAAACCTTTCAGGTTTCTTCGTTTGAGTCAGTCGCCTTGATTCAGAATGTCACGAGCCTTAAGATTTCATGCTGAGGCGCCTTGCAAATCCGACACTTAAGATCCTCCTAGACCTTGAGGTGATCAGCATAAGAGGCCAGATCCCCTCGAGCCATCTACACGTAGCTTCACCTTATTCTTTAAGGGCAGAAAATTTGAGACGGTGATCGCCGTAACAGTAAATTTGGCTTTCAATTGGGGCCCCCCTCCGGTTTAGAAAGAGGAACACCAGATTGACCACATTCCCACCTAGAAAAATCTTCTTGCGTCAATCAAGCCTCACCCTGGCTCATTGGGCTGTCAGTTTGATCGTCGTTAGATTGAAGAGAACACCTAGATGCAGCGATCGGCTATAGATACTTCTAGACCGTCTAGATCTGCTAGACCTTGGGCCAAAGAGGGTCGACCTGCAAACTTGCAAGGTTTATTTTAAATACGCATTACAGTGTTTTCTATTCTAATGTAATTCTGCAATGTAATTCAGCTTTTAACATTTTTCTAGGTAGTAAAATGCTCAAGACGAGTAGGCCCAGAGATTTTTCAACTGACAGATGCTAGTTCTTTAGTTGTCTGAAATCAGTTTTGACTTCAGCAGGGCCTCACGTGCACTGATTGCTGCCGCTGTTTCCTGATACCTGTTTTCTCTAACCTAAAACCAGGTCGCGGTCTAGATCCCGTTCAAGGTCCCGTGGAAGAAGGTATTCTCGGTCACGCAGTCGGAGTCGTGGTAGGAGGTGTGCTTAAGTTGGTCTTTTAGTCTTAATTGTTTCTTTTGCTTCGAAAATGCTACACTTTTACAACTTTTTACTTGATTCTTTGCAGGTCCAGGTCAGCTTCCTATCGTAGGTCCCGGTCCGTTTCTCCTCGTAGGTCTAGGTCTGTGTCTCCCCGCCGGTCCCGATCGGGTTCCTTGAAGAGGTCAAGGTAACTAGTGGTAATTTTTACTAGGTTGTGTGCCATGTTTGCGTTGGGCTTTGTTTGTTTTGGGTTTTTTTGTTAAAAGACCCTTTTTGTTAAGGGATTGGAAAAGGTTTTGGATACCAGGCTTCAAAAGGTGTTGACTCTAGAAATCAGACTGTGGCATGCTTTAAAAAGCTTCCGATAATCCTAGTTGAATTTACAGGCATGGTAATACATTTACTTTTAAGACCTTACAGAGCTGCATATCCCATGATGAATTTTAATGTCTAAAATATCTAATTACCATGTAGTCTTTAAGTTTGGTTGAGTTGACTTCTTTGATTTTGTTTTAATTGGCCTTAATTTTTTATTTCAGGTCTAGATCGAGATCCAGATCTAGATCCCGATCTGTTACGTGGCCCCGAAGCAGGTAAGGTCTATTCTTTGACTGTAAATACTTAGTAAATATTGCTTAAAAGTCTGTTTAGGCTTTCTAACAGCTGTTAACATTTTCAGAAAAAAGTTGTGTTTTCTCTCCACTGACTTAGGGTCTTAAAATGCAGTGCATTTTTAAATGTTTTAGTTTTAAGTTTTAAAATGCGGTGCAGAAGATTATTCTTTCTCTCTGTATTGTTTTAAATTTTACAATGTGGTGCAGAAGATTATTCTTTCTCTTTGTATTGTTTTCCATATCACTGATACCCAGGTCCCAATAGTCATCACAAATACTGTTTTGATCAGGTTGCATTAATATCTAACATAGCAAACAAGTTTAGAATCAATCTGAGAAGGTTTTTTTTTGTTTTCTTTGTGTAGCACACATGAGGTTATGGATTTTTCCTATTATTTATCAGAGAAATCAGGATGCCTTTCAGTAGCGTGTTAAAGCATTAGCACATATAGCCAGGCAAGTCCTGAAGGGCTTGCTAGTGTTGTGAGCGTTACAGCTGTTTGCAGTTCTGTTGAATAACAAAGTGTCAGTCTGCAGGAGCTGAATTAAGTTTGAGACAAACAGCTCTCAGAAATATTTTGTACCAACAAATGTGCCATAAGGGTGATGGTCAAATTTCAAAGGAACACAGGATGTCATTCATTCTCTTAAATTGTAATTTAAGCCTTCCATAGTAAGTGAATGCAGCTTGTGCTTTGTGCAACCTTGCCCAGGCGGTGTGGCTGATGTAGGTTGATTGGATGTCCTCAGCGAGCTGGCATAGGAGAACAAGAGTAAATTGAAGTTCTGCTCTGAAGGAGATGGTACTGCTATTGCCCCAGCCCGTTCTGGTCCTACTGTTCTGGCTGCTCTTTGAAATAAGTAACATAAGTAAGAAATAAGTAACGTAACTATGAAGAAACAACAAAAAGCTTTAGCTGAAGGGAGTAAGTGGAAAAGCCTGCAGCTGAAGGTGGGAGATGTAGTGCTGAAAGGTGGTGGTGTCATTTTCTGAGAGTAGAACAGTAAGCAATGACAGGAGTTTCTAGAGAATGGAGAGGTGAAGACCAGAAGATGGCTTACTTGAGAGCAGAAACTCACACAAACTGTCCAGAAGCTAGTAAAAAGAGAAGGAAAATTTCCCGAGGCAGTAGAGCACTATCAGGTACACTTTTTCTACCTGTTGCTAAAATATGTTGAATCTTAATACTAGTTGTTCCAACATGACTCAGTCACAGCTCATCACTGTTCACTATCAATGAGCAGAAAACAGCTACAGTCCGTTGTTTTCTTTTTTACAGTCCGTTGTTTTCTTTTTTATTATTACAAGGATGTTTTTCTCCAGTGTAAAGGATGCTATTAGTGAAATTTCTAGACGTGTAATTTTAAGTAGAGGTTAAGTGACTGAGGCAGAAGAAATTAGAGATGACAAAATAGTGCCAACTCTAATGAAGTCACTGTTAAACTTCCAAATGAGGCAATTGAAAGATGATTTCTTTACAGAAGAATCAAAGGAATGCACAGCACCCAGAGACAGGCTCTTCATTCATAAGGAAGACAGACTGCATAAGTATTACATGATGTTTGGTGTCAAAACATACATCTGGAAGTTGTTGTGGAAAGCCTTGGATGTGGAAAGTAGAACACTTCCTTTGGGAACCTAAAAATTTCAGTTATTCTTTTAGACAGTATTAGTGTTCTTATGGTGCAGCAGTCTTACTGCAAAGGCTGACATTTTCACAAGGTTTAAGTTCAGACAGATTTTAAAAAACCTTGGAGCAAGTGCATATATAAGCTGAAGCACACTGAGGAGAAGGTATTTGTAGGAGCATGCTGCCTACCACCAGTCACTATTCAACTACAGTGGTAGGTGTCACTCAAGCCTAGTAAAACTCAAAAGTTATCAGCATGGCTTTTTATTAGTTTTGTGAAAATACTGATCAGAATTTGGGGTGTTCATGTATTCCTGCCATCTTCTTCAGCAAACATCAGTCATCAGCCAGAGATAAAAGTACGGAAGAACACATGCAGCATCCATTTAAAAAGCCCTCTTCTGAAACTTAGCAGGAAAAGACCTGGAAGGTTGAAGGAGTCTGTTCAACATGACAGTTCTTACGCATTTAGTGTCAATCTTGCTGTCTCGAATGTGGGAGCTTGCGTGCTAGCAGCTTCCTTGCTGAGCTGTTTTTCCTTCTTGTAGGTCTAGGTCCCATGGCAGATCAAAATCTGGCTCGCCGGCTAAGAGGTAAGCATACAGAGAGAAATCCTGTGGTATTGTGTAGTACTCAATATTGGGTTTGCATGATTAACAGAACCTGGCCCTTTAGAAAAAAATGCCCCAAACATGGGTGCCCAGCTGATCTGTTTGTGATATGAATGAGATCATAAAATTTCCTCTGTAGCTCTTTGGAATATGTTCCCTACCCACCTCATTGTTTTCATTAAGTCTTTGTAGTTTCCAACAGAATACTGATTATTTTGTATCTTTGTGCTCAGTTCTGTTAAATTTTTCTATCTGTGAGATACACAGCTTCAGCTTTGCTAATGCTGTTGATAAAACAGCAGGAATCTGCGATGATGTTTCTTTTCTCAAAGCCTCACCTCAGTACTGCCCCTTGTTTTCCTATGTTCTATACTGAAGACAGTTGCTTAAAATTAATCCCTGTGCTAAATGAATTGAGAATCCCGGACAGAGTAAAAGTTGATTTGAAAACTTTGCTGTTTTAAAGAGCTTCTGGCTAGATTCCCATAAGAATTCTATTGCTGTCTAAGATGCTTATTTTTTTTTAATATAAAAGTTCCATTTGACCTTTAAGCTGCATTGATGATATTCTGTTTTGACAGTCGGTCAAAGTCCCGATCACCATCTCCAAAGAGAAGGTATGTTGAACTCCCTACTAGTAACATAGACTCCGTAGAGCTGGCATTTTAGTATCTGCAGTGATCTCTGCTGAGGAGTTCGACTGCTGCTTGTAGGAAAATACTGGAAAGGTATTTTGCCAAGATCTCTTTGACAGAAATAATGTTATGATTGTGGTTTTATATATGGTAATATATAAGTGGTAATAATATCTCAGGATACTGGTTATGTAGCAGTATTGTGTCTTGCCTTTGTCTGCTCCTGTGTTCATTTCAGTTCACTAACAATTTTATTGCATGGAGACTTTCTGCTGGTCAGCTTAAAGCACAGCATAAATGCAGGAATCAGCTTTGGGTCTCACTGAGAGCTCGTGAGACTGGGGGAGACAGTGCAGTACCCTGGCATAGCAGTTGGGAATGGAAGATCGAGCCTGTTATTTTTACTGCAGTTACTCAGATTTATCTTTTTTCCCAATAAGTTGGTAATTGAGTGTGTGTGTACTGACAGAATCAGCAGCATATTTTCCCTAGTTTGAATTCCTGAAGTTTGTTTTTATAACTTCAGTGTTGAGGATTTACAGAGAAGGGGATACATCCTAGTAAGAATAGCTGTAGACCTGTCAGGGTGTGTCCCTTGCCTTGGTGATCTTTCTGCCCTGCAAGTTGGTTTTGTTACTTTTTTTACATTCTTGTAGAACTTCTACACTTAGGTTTGCTTCAGTTAAAAATGTGTCTGTATGTAGTCTAACCTCACAAACGGTCACAAGGGACTTGAATAAACGCTCATAAAGGTTTTGACAAGCTGCTGTATCAGAACAGTGAAGAAGTATCCTGCCTCCATGAAGGTCACTATTAGTAGTACTCTTTAGATGACTTTACAATGATCACATCTAAATTGTATTATAAAAATAACAGTAGAGAAGTGTGAAAATGTGAAAGTAAAAGAAATAAATGTATAATCTCTAAATCATCAACACATTAACTTTGTCAATAAGGATTAGTTGTTTTATTAATAAAACAGTGCTTAAAGGGTGCTGGGGGAGTCTAGGTATCCTCCTGCTGTTTTTTCCTGTATTTGTGAATCCCAAATGACTACCAAAATGTTAACTGTGGATTCTTTTCCTTTCAGTCGTTCACCATCAGGAAGCCCTCAAAGAAGTGCAAGTCCTGAAAGAATGGATTAAAGTTATGAAGTTAATCTTTTAGGAAGAAAGTTATTTTGCTTACATTATTATAAGGGATTTTGTGGTGTCTTTGTAAATGTAAGAATATAGATAGAAAAGTAATCAACTAAAATTTGGCATGATCTGGGTCTTCTGAGTTAGTCACACCAATAGACTAGCACAGGTCTCTTTTTATTGTATGAATTAACTTCCTGTGATATGAAAATGTGGGACTTTTTTATTGGCACATTGAAATAAAATGTGTATTTTTAACTAAAACTTCTCTGTAGTAACCCTGCTGCTTCTGTTAACGGTTGGGTAATTTTATCTGTGCCATGTAATGTGGATGAAAAATGTCTAAAATGGGAATGACTAATATCGGTGTCTTCTCTAACTAGTCACTTCTCACATTTATTGTTCAGTGGTCTTTGGTGAAAGGATCAGTTTCTGCTTTCTTTGAAATGGAATTTAAAAATCCATCTCTGTCTGCAGATGGCTGAAAATTTGCATACACCTTTTTTATTCCTTTTTGATATTGAGTGGGCATTCATTTTCCTCCCTGATCTAATTATTCTGCAAAGCTTGCTCTCTGGTGCTTGACTAGTTGTGATACCAGATGCCCAAATATTTAAGGATGAACTTTTATTCAAAACACCAACAACTTTTAAATGAATCTGTGGAAACCTCTCAATATAATAGAAATCGTTAATATGGCTACTTCAGCTTGTTGCATTTTTTTAGTTCTATAGGCTATTAATATAAAATGTCTCAAGGCCCGTTTTCCCTTTTTAAGGGAAGACGCAAGGTCTTCTGACCTCTCTGAAGGACCTCAGGAAAATGTGAGAGGCAAAAGAAAGCTGTTATTAGTCTTTTTGCAGCTCACTCAAACTTTCCTTCTTTAAGTGAAAGATTCTCACAGCTGACCACAGGAATTCCAACCTGCTTCACAGATACTGGTATCGTTTTGAAGCAGTCCAGATCCTGGAGATGATTTTGTTGAATTAAGCTAATTTCTTACAGCAAATACGCACTTGCAGGATTAATTGTTTGTGTATGGGTGTGTCCTCATTCTGTAGTCAAGAATTGCATGATAAGGCACTTTGTTGACACAGATCACAGCAAAAGACTGGAAGCAATGTTAGACTGAACAAACAAACCAGTAGGTGGAGGGAAAAAAAGCAGGTATTTTTTTACTGCAATAGAATATCTAGCAGAAATAAAGGCCGGTTTCAGCAGTAAACAAGCACTGAAATGGAAAGCGAGGCCTGTTTGGGCTTCTTACCAAATCTATCCAGCAGTTTGCTTCCAATTGTAAACCACAGCAGTGCATGTTACATGGAAAAAAATTACAAAATTAATTTTGTCACACCTTGGGTAACCTGTGGTTTTCAAAAATCAGGTTTCCTGTTAATGATGACTTCACAGAGCTTTGTCAGTGTCTGAGTTAAACGTCCAGATTCTGCACATGCTGTGGTGCTACAGCATCATCCAGCCTCTGCCCGGTCCCGGGTGCCCGGTGTCCGCCTGGACACTCCGGTGGCACACAGCCCCGGGGAACAGCGCTTCATCGAGATCTTGGCACCTTCCATTGAGTCCCACTGTGGCTGCCGGGGTAGAGCGGGGGTGACACAGGCGTTGCCCTGCAGTGCTTTGGCAGAAACACCTGCAGCCTGTGACTTGTGTTTGGAATATTTACTGGTTGTGTGTTGCCTGCCTGGTTCATGGTGCGCCTGGGCAGAGGCACATGCGTGCTCCTGCTCTGCAACTTGATCAGCTTTTTTCTCTTCTGTACTCTTAAGGCAAACCTACTCCGCAATAAACCTGCAGACTGACACGAGAGCTGTACTGGTACCTGTTCTTCAGCGCCCAGAGACCTGGAAGACAGAGGAGAGGAGCCTGGGTGGCTGTAGGAGACTAGGGTCCCCCTAAGCCCAGGGAGGAGTCAGGGCTGTGTGGCTGTGGCCATGGCAGGACAGCTGGTGCTCCTGAGGTGCGGTGAGGGGGCACGTTCTGCCTGTGCTGTGGTGACCAAACTGAGAGGGGCTGTGCTGCCCCCTCAGCTCCAGGCGGCAGCCATGGGGGAGGCCGCGCAGCTCTGGCTGTCACCTGTGTTTGGTAGGATTTCACTGAAAGTTCCATGCAGCGTTTGGGAGCTCTTGGAAAAGATGCCCAGCCAGGCGGAGGGGTGTGAGCGCCGCCGCTGTCACCCCGCAGCTCTGGGCAGGGTGTGCGCACTGCGCAGCCAGGCTGGGGGTCGGGGCTAGGGAACACCTGGGCTCTTGTGGGGTGGGCAAACCACGCTCTCCGGGGTGGTGGTGCTTCCACCCCTGGTTTGCAACTGAGCATTTCCCGAGCTGGGATCAGCTGGGCTTTATTCCGCGAATTCGCAGCCATGATCTGCCAGTGGGAGCCAGGGCTTGTGCAGCCCCTTCAGCTGCAGCGTGGCAGGAGAGCCTAGGGGTCAGGCTGCAGAGCCCTGTGCCTGGCACCAGGGCTGGCTCTCCCTGGGGAGACACCCCTGTGTCCCTCCCCCTGCCCCTCGGGGTGCCACCCTAGGGTTAGGGGTTAGAGTTAGGGTTTACAGGGTAGGGTTAAGGTTTAGGGTTCAGGTTAGGGTTTACAGTTTAAGGTTAGGATTATGGTTAGTGTTAGGGTTAGCAGCTAGGGTTTAGGGTTAGGTTTGGGTTAGGTTTATGGGTTCAGGGTTAGGGTTAAGAGTTGGGTTAGTGTTGGGTGTTAGGGTTAGTGTTTCAGGTTTGCGTTAGGGTTACGGTTTACGGTTAGGGTTAGGGGTTATGTTCAGGGTTTAGGGTTTGGGTTAGGATTAGGGGTGCCAACTCCCTAAATTATTGTCACTACCACCCCCTCGGTTTCTGCCAATTTTTTAATGAACCCTGAGAAAACTGAAGATTTTCATCAGTCTGGTCCTTGTTACAGGGTTTTGTGGATGATACACGGAACCTCAACGTTAAGATGATGATTTTCCTTTTGTGGTTGTATCTTCAGGACTGTAGATGGATGTACCTGTTGGGAAATACGAGGTGTTCTGAACTTGGTGTAAAATCTTTGTATATTTGTGATCTGGTACTGCATTCTATAATAATGGGAGAGGGGTATAGTTTAAAGCCACTGAAGCGGCATACCGAGGACACCTGAAAAGTCAAGAAGAATAAGGAGGAGATTGGCATCTAAAACGGGCCTGGAAATCTACCAGAGGGACGAAAGGTAAAAAGTACACGGCGAGGAAGACGTCTTACTTCATCAGAAACGACCACCGAAGACCACCAGAAGGGACTGGAATGTCGCCAGAATGACGCAATCTATGAAGCAATCCCTAATGAATATGTAATAAGAGGTGATGGGGTGACTATTGAATATGTATGAAATTGTATAATCGTGAGGGTATAAATTGTAAGTTGACACGGTCGTCGGCGAACCAGATTTGGGTGACTACCCCTGGTTCCCGGGCCCGCGAAATAAAGCACCGCATATAACTACCTTCCAGTGGTTATGTGTTTGTCACCGACATACCCACTTTACTTAAGCAGCCGAGGTGTAGCATGTACGATGCTCTTGTGCAGCTGTCGCTGCGAGCTGTGAAACAGGAGCTCAGCCCGAGGAGCCATGGTGGGCACCTGGGATAATCCCAGCACACCCTCCTCTGCAAAACTGCCCTGTGTGACCACTGTGTGCCTGTGCCATCGCAACGCGGGCGTGAGAAGAGTAGGGCTTTGATGAGCTGAGGCCGAGCTGCAGGGCAGGTCATTGCTGGGGAGAGAGCAGCAGCCGGAGCAGCCCAGAGCACTTTGCTGGGAATAGCTGATGCTGTAACAACCACCCACAACTTTATCCACCTTCTGACGTGCTCCACATAAATATTACCGGGTATTCCCTTACTGTAGTGTGCGCTGCAACATGCCATGTCCTTAAACAAGGTGTTTTCAGTGCATTTTTACTGCAAACCAAAACCAAACACCCGGGTTGAGGCTGTACAAAGAGTGAGAGCTTTGCAGAGACTGGATAGCAGCAGAGGTGGTGACAGGGATTAAAGCCAGCAGAAACTACAGGTGAAAACCACAGAGGAGGAAAAAAGTTCCCAGCTTGGATGGGTAGTTTGAAAGCACCATTGGGCACCTGGTGGGATCTCTGGCTAACCTGCTGGAGGCACTTACCCTTCTTGGTGGTAGAGTTGGCATCCCCGTCCTTAAGCAGCGCTGAAGAGGAAGTAGGTGGTGTGGTTGTATTCCTCGCCCGGCCGCAGCAGGGAGCTGGGGAAGTGGGGCTGGGGAGAGGCAGCAGCAAGTCAGTGACAGTGAGCGCACACCGTGGCACCAGGGCAGGTCACCAGAGCACGGCCGCATCCCCTGGGCCACCCTGCAGCATTTCCCGTGGCCCCCCCGGCATTCCCAGTGGCATGGGTGAGTCCTCCCCCTGCTTGAATTCAGGCCCCATGGGATATGGATATAGGATATGGCAAGGCCCTGGTGGGGTCTTCTGCTCTGGAGCTTGGGAAGCTGGGCTGTGCGAGGCCGGTCCATGCCGTGCTGGCCAGCCCCTGCCTCACGCTGCAGGATGCTGCGGCTGTGCCCGCCTCAGTTCTGGAGTCTACAAAGCATCCCCTCCCAAACAGACTCCCTTCATACCGGAAGTCGGTAGATTTAGATGAGATCTCAGGAAGACATTTTTCACTCTGAGGGTGGTGAGAGCCTGGCCCAGGTTGCCCAGAGAAGCTGTGGCTGCCCCATCCCTGGAGGTGTTCAAGGCCAGGTTGGAGGGGGCTTGGAGCAACCTGGTCTGGTGGGAGGTGTCCCTGCCCAGGGCAGGGGGGGGACTGGATGGTCCTTAAGGTGCCTTCCAACCCAATCCATCCATATTTAATGCCCCAGAGGTATGGCTGGTGGCATGGTCCACTGTTGCAGGACCCAAGCAGCTTGCGGGGGGGGAAGAGCTCACCTGGTTGACGGCATCGGGCCAGTTCTGGGTTTCCAGGCAGAAAGCTGAGTGCTTGGGGTACGCGATGGCACCTTTGCCCTTCAGGGAGCCATCTAGGTTGTTCCCGGTGTAAAACTGGATGCCAGGCTGGGTGGTGTGAACCTCCATGGTCCTGCCAGTGGGCGGATGGCGAGCCCTGGGAAGATGCCGGTGGAGGATACTAAGAGGCTGGCCGGACGGGCGCCCCGTGGCTCCAGGGGTGGGGGAGCCCTGCCTGGGTCACAGCCTACCTGGCCACGAGGCGTCGAGTGGGTGCCTGCTCCAGGCAGAAGTTGTGGTCGAAACCGTCCAAGTGAAATTTTTGCAAGTGCTTCCCCAGCTCCACAGGCTGCCGGAGATCGAAGCCGGTGCCCTGCACCGTGGCCACCTCCCCTGGGCAAGGGGAACAGCAACGTCAGCTGATCACACACACACCAGCAAACACCCATGGCGCTGGGTTGAGATCCCCTACTTTGGAGACCTGAGGGTTTTAAGCCACTTGTGATCCTTGTGTCATTGTGGTGCTTTCACATTGAGCAAGCTTGCCTTGTGACTTGGGCTGGGACATCACCACCTTGTCCCCCAGCAGAGCTGGCAGCCCCCAGGGACACTGCTGTGCTTGGACAGGACAAAGCAAAGCCAGGGAGCCAGAAAACAAGAGGGGGGTGGGATTTGTATATGTGACTATACAAGCTAATTAATATAAACCCCAAACTTATTAGCTATTAGCATTTATATATGCATAATGTTTATATACATAGACTCTCTCTCTCTCTCTAAATAAATAAATAAATCCTCCCAAATCTCTGAACAAACATCCATGAGATGGCGATGAAGGTCTCAGTTGCTGGGCTGGTGAATCTATACTGGGACCAGTGCCATCCTGCCTCAGGGCATTGTTTCAGGAAAAGAAGGTTTAAGACCCTAAACCCAGTATTTTCCCTTAAGTCTATTTTTAAGGCCTCATGTGGGGATGCCTCATGGGCAACATCCCATGATAAAGCTCTTGCAGTGAGAACACAGTGCAAAACAGCCATACCAACCCAAAGGCAAGGGGGTTTGCATGGGGGAGGTGAGAGAAGAAGGATAGGAGAGGGGAATTTCCCCTGAAGTCCCATTTTTCTATCCCTCTTCAAAGGGAGACGTTTCCAAGGGCGAGTAGGCAGGTGCTGAGGATGGGGCAGCCCTGCCCCGTGGGCTGTGCTCATCTGCACCCAGTCTGCTCTGCAGAGCTTGAGAAACATCAGTCTCCACCCAACAAACAGCACATTTCTGTGGCTTCTGATCCTATCTAAAAGGATTTAGAATTTGCTGAATCCAGCTGCGGGGAGGAAAAACACCTTGAAAAAACACAAACAGTGATTTAGGCACTTAAATAAAATACAGCAGCCATCGCACACAATGGCTTTGTCTTTAAGAGTTGCACAAATCCTGTCTTCACCCCGGGGCTAAGACTATACACAGTTTTATCAGCTTCAAAGGCTACACTTACCCAAAACACCAAGAGGGAACTGCAAAAAAGCAGCAGCAGCAGCAAGCAGCCCGCAATTAAGATGTGAAACAGCTCCATGGTGAAACCACTGGGGAGAAGCAGGGCAGTGGGTTTGGTATGGCCCCAAGCCCTTCCCTGGCACGACACATGGAGCCAAGCAACAGCTGCTTGGACTGGGAGACCCGCTCCTTCAGCTGCGAGCCAACGCGTGCACGTATAGCGGTTTTGGTTCATGAACACAGACATAACTCTGGTTTTAGCAGACACCTGAGCTAAAAAGCTTTTTGGCTTTCTTTGTCGTTTTTTTTTTTCTTTGTAAAGCCTCTCTTCCTGTCCCTCCTGAAGTCAGAAGGTGTACTCAGCAAAGCAGCCCTGCAAGAGCATCAGGGAAACAAGCCTGCCATCTCCAGCAGAGCCTAGGCTGACCAGAAATGGCCCCACAGGCTTGTGCAGCCCTCGGGCACATATCCTGCCCCATGCCCAGGCTTTCTCCTTGATGCCAGCTGCACACAGGAGCACAGCCAGCCCAACATTTATGCCTTGGACCGGCTCCCCGGTGCTCCTGACACTGCTCTGTCCTCCATGGACCTCTGGCAGGGCACAGCACCCTTGCCTGCCATGGTTCATCATCTGCACTCCCAACGGCCTCCTTTCCTCTAAGCCAGTCGGGCTGGATGAAAAGCCATCATTTAGCAGCAAACCTAGAAGTCTCTTTTTTGATTATTTTAATCCATTTTACGCTTTTTGAAAATTCAGCCAAACACAGCTCTTTTTTTTTTTTTTTTTTTTTAAATCATGCTTTTCATTCTCAGAAACACTATAACTTGGTATCAGATTCATTTTGTAACCAGATAAACTCTCAGTTCAACTCAGCACAGTCACTTAGGCTAAGTGAGAAGTGTGTGCTGGAGCAGTGCGGTGGGAGGGCTGGAGCTGAGCCACCCCAGGGAAAGTGCCCCCTTATTAGCAGTGGGACTATTGCCAAGCGCGTGTGTTTGGTGCTGGCTCTCCTGCAGGTACAGGGAGCATGTTCCCTGTCCCAGCTTGTTCAGTTTACTTAACTTAGCAGCTTGATCATTTATGGGGAGCAACAGAGTGGAAGCGGTGGGGAAAAAAGAAAAAAAAGAAAAAGGAAAACTAGAAAGCCCCATTTTCTCCTTTTTTCCCCCTGAATTGAGACCAGGTGCAAGAGGCTTGCTTCTCTGCGCTGCCTGGAGACAGCAGCAATACCACCTTTGTCTAATTAACCTGCTTAGCATGCAAAACATGCTCTTTCCCTTAACTGGCTCTCCTCTTTTAGGTATGCAGGACATTACAGACAGGAAAGCAGAGTTGGTTTTGTGTTTTCAGCCAGCAGTGCCAGCTCTCCTGTCCCGATGAGGGGACTGATGGCTGGGTTCTTGCAGGGTAGGACCATGAGCACCAGAGATCCTGCAGCTCTAGAGCTCAATGCTGGGCCTGGGAGCTGCCCTCCAGACCAGGGACTCTGACCATCTCATGTGCCATCGCACTGATCGACAGCAGCCCTGTGCCTGGAGCACGCTGCCGTGTGGCTTGCATTGCCCACGTTTTACTGAGGCTTAACAAATGAATTCTCCTGCTTTCTCTGGACTTTGAGCATGGGCTGATCTTATGGAAATAAGATCTGTGGAATTAAGACCTTGATATCACGTGGAAAATCCCAGTAGAGAAGTACGATGAAGCCAAACACTGCTGGAGGAAGCAAAGTAGGGTAAAATTCCAGGCCAATCCCAGCTCTCAACGTGCTGAATGACCCTCTCTGGTGGCCCAGCTGGTCCTGGTAACAATGGATTGGCCTGCAGGGAAACACTGGCCAAACATGGGACATGCTTTGGTCCTGTGCCATAGGTAGCTTGTCCCCTGGATGGGCATCCTGGATCCACGTTGCAGCCCTGCATGCCCCTCTCCTCTGGCCCCATTTCCTGCTGCTGCTGCCTGCACTGGTCCACCCTCTCTCTAGGGCTGGGGCTGGTGATGGACTCTGTTACCAGCACCTGGCTCTGCCCACTCTGCCCAGGTGTGCTGGGACTGTGCCCACAGGTGAGGGCCTGGCGTCCCCTGGGCCCGGTGTGCGTTCCCCAGTGCTGTTCCCCGACACCCACAGGCACTCAGCTGTGAAACCCTCTCCATCACGTGCCACAGGTGTCGCACCACCCACCGGTAGGGATCTTGGTGTCGTCCACAGGCAGGTAGGAATCAGCTTGGATAGAAACCTCATGGTCGTAGATATCCCGTGAGCCCTGCAGGAGGATGGGAAATACTGGGGTTCCTGTTGTGGTCCTTCCACCATTCAAACCACCCTTGGCACACCCAGGAAATGACTGCCCACGGTGGTGCTACAGCCAAGCTGGTAGAGCCCAGGGGACCTCCTGGCTGCCATCCCAGCTTGACTCTGGACACAGGACACAGGTACCAGCGCAGGCAAAAAGCTGCATGAGACTTTGTAAATCCTGCAGGGCTGAGACTATCAGTCTGAACTTGTACCTCACCAAGCACCACCACCCTGCAGACTGACTGGCCAAAACACGCTGGCTGCCACACAGCGGCTGGCAAAAGGGGAAGGAAACAAGTGTGGGGAAGTGCAACCCATCCTCCTGGTTCATCTCCTGCAGCTCGGGAGGTTGTGCTCTTCCTCTCCCACAGTCTAGGGGATGCTGCCCCACTCTGCAAACTTGGTTGCCTGACATCTCTTTTCCATGACGCTTCTCCTCCCCACTTTGATTTGGGTATCTTGGTGCCACGCTGACTCTGGCTGGCACTTCAGGCCCTGATTTCAGCTGCAACATTCACGCAAGGGTTTCAGTACATCTCTCAGAAGTGCCAACAGAAGACAGCTAAGAAATGCCAGTCCATCACTAGGGAATGGCAGTTCTGCACCTCCTCTGTAATCTTCCTGAGGGACCAGGAAAACTGAAACAGTTACACACAAAAGGAGAGTTAATATTCATGGTGGGATGTCTCTGTTCATGATGTACTGGGATAACGCATCCTCAGCTGAGGTCCATGTGATTCAGTACTATCCCAGCCTATGATGCACAAAGACAACCTCCATCGCTGTGTCCCCAGAAGCATACTGTGTCCCCAGATCAGCATGTTGGTCCCAACGATCCCATGGGAAGCCCACAAATCATCCCATGAATCCCCAGGCTTTCTTCCCCTGCACAGTGGCCCTCCACGAGGTTCAGCTCTCCATGCTTACCTGCCCTGCAAGGTTGAAGTACGCATGGTTTGTCAGGCTGATGGGTGTTGTCTTGCTCGTCTGGGCTCGATAGTTGATGGCCAGCTCCCCACCGCTGAGTGTGTAGGTCACCCAGACTTTTAGGTCACCAGGGTAACCTTCTTCACCATCAGGGCTGAGCCGGAAGAAGCAGATGCCATTTGGGACGATGTGGGGATTCCAGAGAACCTGCAAGGAGTTGGTGGGACAGTTATGGGAAACCCTTCTATCCTGTCACAGGCTGGGCTAAACCCAGGTACAAAAGGTACTCAAAGAATGAGGCACTGAAACAAAGGTTTTTTTCAATCATCTTATAGAATCATAGACTCTTTCCTGCTCTTACTCCTAGAAGAAAAAAAAAACCAAAAGCCCAATATTTTTCCCTATAAAGGACTAAAAAACAATATCCCCTTGTTGAAAAGAAAAAGGGAAGTGGGAGAAAACACAAGCATCAGCCTGCTCGTGGTCAGCCGAGGCCAGCAGCGGGGAACAAGTTTTTCAATGAGCCGTCAAACAAATGAGGCAGTTTGCTCTGATGGAGGGCTGTCCCAGCCTGCCTTACTCCATGCCTAAGAGGGTGCAAGCATTTGATTTTTGCCCTGAAGCCGGACTTACTCCCCTTCCCAGGGATCTCCTGGTGTGCAACATCACTTCAACAAGCTGCCGCCCTTCCCTTAGCTGACTCGGGGCTGGCTTCTAGGACAATGTAAATGCACACTGGGAGCTCCAGCTTACGGGCTGGGGTTGGGTTAAATAGCACCATGTGTATTGCCAGATACATCCACATGTCACAGAACTAGGACCTCTCCGTTTCTTGCCCCTGGCAGAGACCAGGGCTTCTGCTGATGAGAGAAGCAAGCCAGCACACAGTAAATTTAGCTGCCCAGACAGCCTGTTTGACCCCGGCCATGGACCTGATGCTGAGCAGACACGTCAGCCCGTTGCAGAATGGATGTGCAACAAGGGGTGAGGCACCCAGTATCTGGAGCTTTGCATCTACCTAAGGAATGGTTACTGTCTAAGCAAGGAGGACAGATCTAGGAGCAGGGGCTGGATGATGTTTTTGAGATGACTCCTTTCATCTCCTGTGCAGAATCACAAACTCAGGGCACTTGTTAAAAGCCAAGATTTTCACTGAGCACGGGAACTGAGGGTGCCAAATATGATAGCCAGACTGCAGCTCCCACTGCTGTGGGATGCTGTGGTTTTATGTGAGTTTTTTATTTAAGTTCTTCAAAGAAAAAGCTGTTAAAGGCCAGTAAGCATACCTATATCACTATTTTTTAAAGCTAAGAGGGTTATTTTCTGAAGTCCCCCAGTCTCCCAGCAGCGTGGTCAGATTTTGCTGCTATGTAAGTGTGGCTGCAAGCTTTGTTGTCATCAGACCACACACTGACCGCAGCACGGAGGTCTGCAAGATCAGGAATAACTAACAAGATCACCCAGACAGTCCTTGCGTGTCTTGTTGCTGTTAGGACTGATCCAGGTCTCTGCACAGTGACTGTTCCCTGGCTGGAGGGGGTCTTGAGCAGGGGTCCGAGCATAGCCCATGGGCCAGGGGACACAAGCCCAGGCTGGGAGGTGTTACTGCCTTGTATTCACCAAGCTGGCATGCCTTCAGCAAGCAAGGGAAAGAGACAGGAGAAGAGGCCATGTCCACCGTCTGTAAAAGACAGAGTGGAAGCCTCAGATGGAAAAGAGTGCATTTTTTCAGCTCTGGCTCACAGCAGGTCGGGGATATAAAGAAACTTTAAACCAAATGGTCCTCTTTGGGTCTACAACAGCCAAATCACTCCAGTACTTCTTTTTTTCTAAGGCTGCTGAGAAGCATTTCATCCCAATCTGACACCAGTTCACAATGGGCTGCCCAGAGGTGAGTTTTTCTCCAGTCACTTTGACTTTTGTCCCATCAGCCTGGATGTCCTTTCAGGAAACAAAACATTAACCCAGGAAAGCAGCTGTATCAGCACATTCACATGTGTTCCCCTGCGGAAAAGGTGGATCAGCTACTTGCTGGCTACAAAGGCCTCTGATTTGACAAAGCCCAAGGCTTCAGGAAAGCAGAGACTTCTGAGCCTGGTATACAACCAGCAGAGTTATCAGCAAAGTTTTCAAGGAAGGAGATGCTCCATTGCTCTCACCACTTGTAGCGCATGGAGGGTCTCTGCACTTCAGCAGCAGCTCTTGGGAGATGACAGATGGATCGAGTGCCCCTTGGGCCAGGAAAAGGTTATTTTATCTCAGGAGGTCACAGGGAAGGGCTGGGGAGGGTACACAGTGATGCTGGGCCATTTTGCAGGCCTGGCCTAGTCGCCCGCTGCTGTGAGTCAGAGTGAGAGCGTGGGGTACGCTGTCAGCGGGGTGAGGGTGGTCCTGCAGGGGGTGATGGATGCAGTGACTGTGCCGGCCCCGCCGCACCGCTCTGCTCCCCGGCGCTGTCACAGGCAAACAGCAATGACACTCAGCGTCTGCAGACACAGGATCTTCTGGCTCTTGGGAGGAGCTATGGGCAGGGAACAGCCGTGAAAGTGCAGGTGCAAATGAGTCTGCATGGATCCCAGGAAACTTTATTGGGGCACTGGGACAACTACAGCGCCCGCTCTGGGGCAGTGCGGCCGATGCCTCAGGAGCCTCCATCGTGCATGAGGCTGGGTCCTCATTACCATGTTCTAACCCGGGTTCTGCAGGAGCAGGTCCTTGCCCCAGGACAACCCCATCTGAACTGGGCTCACGAGGCCCCAGGGCTGCAGTAACACAGAAGAATCACAGCAATCCTCTACATGTCCAAGGATGACATAAGTGTGCCCTGCTAAGCCACCCAACCCAGCAGCTCACAGGGTCTCAGTTCACCCAGTTCCTACACCCACAGCGCTTTCTGGGACCTGATTCAACTCAATAACCCCCAGAAAACCCTACAGGGTCAGGAGTGGAGACATCATATCCTCTTGCCCCCAGGCTTGTGGCAAGACTCTGGGACCCACCACCCTGATGTTCACCTTGTCAAATCCCCTGGCTCCTCCGTGCAGGCTGTTGGGCCCATTGTTGAGGAACAGCTGATAGTCCTTGCCCTCCACGGTGAACCTCCCCTTTGCAATCCTGTTGGCAACACGCCCCACGACGGTACCGAAGAAGGGGTGCTTCCTTGTGTAACCTGGCCAGAAAAGCAGCGCGTGGTTAAACTGAAGGACTGGGAGAGGATGGGTGGTCTCCAGGTGTGCTTATGGATTCAGAGGTGTCTCTCTCTGCTCCCCCCCAGTACTAAATAGGTGACTGCAGTCCTGGTTTTTCACAGGACACACAGCTCACTAGCATGACGCAGAGGGGGCACACTGCACCCTGGAGCCACCAATGTCCCTGTTCCCCCACCACCGAGCCCAGGACAGGCAGCAGGAGCTGTATTTATTCAGCCCATGATTTGGAGGGGACCCTTAGAAGCAGATCATGCAGTGTGGCAATAAACCAGAAAACAGCAGTTAAATTGACTGATTTTTTTAAATATTTTTTTTTTTTTTAAATAAATAGATTTAGACCCACCTTCCAAAGTGTCGAAGCCGAGGACAACATCTGAAAACTTCCCATCCCTGTCTTTTGTCTCCAGAGCAGCAATTATGCACCCCAAGGACAGGATCTCCACTTTCACGCTGTCTGACTTTAAGATAAACTTTTCCACCACTCCTCCTCCTTCCTCCTGGGGCATCTGCCCGAACACCTCTCTCCTCACTTCTGTCATTGCTCGTCAAAACCTGGTGCCCGGCACTGCCAGTGGGAGCTGTGGCCCTGCCAGGGAAGGAGGCTGGGGAGGAAGCAACGGTGGCCGGGAGCGGAACAAACACAATTCCAGAGTGCGATCGTAACAATCACATGAATGCTGGGAGGAGTTACGCTGTGCATCTCCCCACCGCCCCGGCCCGGCCGGCGGCAGCACGGCCACAGAGGGATGCAGGAGCATCGGGAGGAGCCAAGGGCTTTCACCCGAGGGCAGTGGCACCAGGGAGGGAAGGGTGAGAAAAGAGGGAGGAAGGCTGCCCACGCTCGGGCTCGTGCAGCCGGGGCCCAGCAGCCTGGCTGCCAGCCTGCGCGTTCGGCCTTTCAGAGGACAGAGCATCACCGTCACCAGCTCTTCTCCCCCGCGTCCATTGCACCGCCACAGCCTTCAGGGCCCTTGCAAAGTACGACAGGACAAAATGCTGTTTTCTCCCTTCATGTCATCATGTCCTTCCAGCCCCTCCCCAGGAGGCACAAGGCAGGACCAGTGTCTGCTGGCAGAGCCGTCAATCGGGCTCAGGGCAGTTGCTGGCCAGGTGTTACTCTCAAAGTCACATCCACATGGTCCTGATCGCCTTTTGAAGTATCAGCTTCTCCCATCTCTCTTGTGTCTTTGCAGGCAGTTTCAGTCAGCAAGACAACTCCAGCAATATTTAAGTAATGTGTGTGCACGTTTCCGACATCTCTTGGCAAGGCTCACCTGTGAGGCAAAAGAACTTCACTACAATGTGATGTTGTCACATTTTTATGAGGGCTCATTTTCAGAATTTGTTCAAAGAACCAATAATTCCAACAGCTCCCACCAAAAAACCTCAATCAGTCAACCAGTGGTTGCTAAATGTTCATTTCCAACAGAGCAATCACCTGTAGATGGGACAGACTACAGACTCCATGCCCACACAGAAACACCCCCCCACTTCGGGGCTGAGTGGGGCTGGTTTGAAACCTCCCCTTCATTGTTGATGATGGCTTGGTGTTTGCGGTGTGACACAAAGAGCCAGGCTGGTATGCCCTCCTGCACCTTCACAACCAGTGTTTTCACATACAAAGCACTCCCAGAAGTTCACTCCTTAGCACCTTGGCTCCCTGACACCTCTCTTTTCGTGTGCTTATCCAGACAAAGGAAGCATTTCTGCTTCACAAAGACAGTTTTTTATAAAGGTGTGGTTTTTTAACGTGAGCTGCCACTTTGATTTACTTCTCTGATTCACACCAGAGAAGGTCTAGACCCAGCTCTTTGACATCACAGTCAGGCACACTCTTTCATTTTCTCACACACCTTTGCAGATGCGAGATCACTCAAGCCGCATTGACACCTAAGATGGTGCAGATGCAAAAGCAATACCACAGACAAATCTGTTGAGGAACCATCCACCCAATTTTCAAGCTGACTGATAAATCAGAAAAGAAACCAGCTTGCACAAGCGCTGAGTCCTGCAGGCAGCAGCGAGGGCAGGGGAGCAACCTCAGCTTCAGGGTTTGAGCAAGGTACCTCAAGGCTTCTGCTTCATTTCAAGAGGACTTTTCACCGTTTGCCTTTGCGTGTGTCCTACCTCTGCACCGCTGGGGAGAGGAGCAGGTAGACAAGGGGGAGAGACAGGATGCAAGCAAGTCTTCTTCTGCATCTCACCACACTGGATTTTCTTTTTTGTCATTCCCATTTTTAAGAGAGGGCTTGTTTCAGGCCTTACTCTCTATGGCACCAAGTTTTGCTTACAGTGAGGGTCAAATGCAAGCTCCTCGCTTTTTTCTCTTCTTTCCTCCTGGCAGAAACCCGCCGTCCTGGGCCCCAACACGCCTGGCGTTGGCAGCAGGGCACTTCCACCACCAGCCAGCCTTCTGCTCCTCTTTGCATTCACTCCCCTGCCTTGCAGCTCTGCATGAGGAGCCAGGCAGGGCAGGAGCTTGCTTTCCCCGACTGAAAAGGTACCGCAGCAGCCCTTTGCAACCCAAACCCCAACATGTTTGTGAGGAGCATGGATTTGTCCCCTCTGTCACACCCAGAGACTCTGCAGGTGCAGCAGAGACATGGCGTGGAGGCGGGTTACATGCTCCCCAGAAGGCTCCTTTACACTAGGCAAGAGATGAAGCAGAAGATGAACCAGTTTGTGCGAGCTGCTTTCTCTTCTGGTTTATCTGTCTTTCCCCCACCAAAAATCTAATAAAAAGGCACACTGTGAAAAAGAATGGCTTGGGTGGGGGGGGTTGTGTTTTGGGTTTTGTTTGATTGGTTGGTTGGTTGGTTGTTTTTTTGTACTGGGTGTTTTTGTTTGGGGTTGTTTTGAGAGGGAACCATTTAATGCACTGTCAACTAGTGTCAGAAAGTAAACTTGTTATGATAAAAATTACAGAGGAGAATTTATTTCCCTGTGATCAGCAGCTTGGAAATTCCATGTGCCTGCAGGTCAGCTACCGCTTTGCAAGGCAGAAGCTAGGCATTGGATTTTACGCATGCTTGTGCTATTTGCTTATGGATACTTTATTTTTGTTCTTTTTTTCAGATGTTTTTCTTTAATCCAAAATAAAGTGACTTAAAAGCCTGCAGTCAACCAAAACTCTCTGTTGTGCAGTACCTGCTATCACAAGATTCTTTTTTTGGTTGGTCCTCAGGCAGTTCTGTAATAAATTACATCACCATGCTTCCTTCCTTAATTTTGTCTGTATTTATTAGAAGCTCCTGCTTCTGTGTGCCCCTAAATCTAGTGATTGTTGTGCGGAGGTGGTAGAAATTCAGCTCTTGCTCCTTCTTGTGTTGGGTCTAAACCCAGTTCTCCTGTAAAAAGTGCCCACCTGACTAGACTAGAGGACGTCCTGCAGTGGGTCTCGGCTTTTCCAGTTTGTATACTTAAATGTTCACTGGATGGGGGCTGGACCACTCACTGCTCTAACACCAGGGCATGAGAGCTTGTTTTTTAATCCTCTCACCAAAGTAGTATTTAGAAATACTGTGCAAAGCAGCACAGTTGACACTGGGAAGCCCAAGGGGGCTTGCATGCACAGCACTTGTTCAGAAGATGGAAGTTTAAATGAGTTTAAATCCCTGCTCCACATCAGGCAGCAGAGAAGGCATCCAAACCTGGGTTTAAAACCCAGATGTGATTTTCAGTTTTTTTCTGGACCCAGAGCAAGACTTTAGGACTCAACTGATGAAAAAAAATAAATCTTAAGAGGCAATTCAGGTTTGTGAAGGGATGTGCTGTGCGCCCTTACAGGATCCAGCTCTGTTCTGAGGTACCCAGATCCCTAACCACGACTTTCAGCAGAGCTGCCGTGAGTAAGGGAGGGGTATGATGTTAATGGCACTCACCATCTGCCCCGTGGGGATCTTTGGGCAGTGCTCCTGGCCCAGGCTGCTTGGGGCAGATCTCTTGTTTTGGAGAACCGGAGCTGTTTGTCTCAGCACAACGAGGCAGTGCAGCTTTGCACACAGAGCCCAGAAACAACCAAGCTGTTACTGTACCGGCAGTGTTTTGATTTGAACGTGACAGAGACAGCCTAAATGCTGTAATACTTAAGCAATGACCAATGATGACAGCTTGCTGTTTCCCAAGGAGCTTCCTTCCTTGCTGCTGGCAGCAGTGAGGCTCCTGCCCCGCGGCGTGAGGTGGGCTCTGTCTGGGCTGGGGGCTGCGCAGACAGAACAGGGCACAGACACCACCTGGTACACCCCCCGAAATACAGGGCTGTAATTAAAACCCCTTTTCCCAACAAACTTCATGTAAGCCTGAGGGGACGAGCTGGCACTAAAGCCTAGAGGGAGTAGCCAGGACAAAAGGGGAGACATTCCCCCCACCATTTTATTGTCTGTTTATTGAATGTATCTCCAGCTCTGCCGGTTACTTCCCAGCACACGAGCTTAAAATAGAGCCTGCACTTTTTTTTTTGCTTCATCTCTTCAGGGGGAAATACACTGAGCCATTGATTAGGTTATTTTAGGATCATGGCACAGTGCAGTTGCTTGCTGTTATCCTGGCAGTCACTTACCAGGAGCCAGTTATGCACGTTTTAGAAAGCTCTTCAAGAAACACAGCTACCCGAGAACACTTCACACAGCATGTTTCAGACGCGCCTTTGTGTGCAAGTTGTTTGTGTCTCAGTAGCCGCCAAAGAGCCATTTGGATGTGTTGGTTGCTATAGTAATTACTTTCCTTGGGAGCTAAAATAATAGCTTGCAGCTCCTGCAGCTTGCTGTTGTATAGGCTGCCTGCAACCAGGGGCACTTCCATTTTGTTCTGGAGGGGGCTGGGGACTGTAATGTAGGCTGAGAGACAGTCTTCCTTTCTATGCTTGAGCAGCTAATTTTGAATTTAACCTTTGTAGAGGATGCGTCATGGGTCTAAGGGTTCAAAAATAAAAGCCGCATATGAAATGGTAGGACAGCCTTGTGGCTGAGGTTTCTGATGGGGGTAAAGATTTGGATTTGGTTTCCATTTCTGCACTGAAAACTGGTAGGGCCATGCTGAGACTGACTTTCAGTGCTGAGGGCCCTACAAAGCAACGGGGGGGGGCCTCACAGGGGTTTCGAAAGCATCTAAGCAAGTCAAGGAGGAAGGTGACAAGGAGGACAGCTCTGCATCATTCAGCCTTTTTTTCACCAGTGGTGGCACGGGTGAAGTGGCTGCTGGACCTGCAGCCCTGGAGAGGGCAAGGGGTCTCGCTCTGCCTTTCAAAGCAATCCCACAGCTGGCAGATGCCTGCTCCCCATGCCATCTGCAAGCACAGGACATTTCTGTGTGACATTTTAACTTGCAATCCTGTGGGCTGTGGGACTTTTGCTTGAAAGGGCACGGTGCAGAAGCATTTCCCGGCAGTAGGACAAGCCCCATGCTCATGGCTCTGTGTAGTCATGATGGAGGCACCAAACGGGAAGGTCCGTAAGTCGTTTTAGGCTCATGGCCTGAAGAGTCAGGTATTTTTGTGCAGCCTGCAGCCAGGTGGGCTGGCGTGGCATGGCACTTCTGGTAATCTGCCATGGAAGCAGGGGCAAGAGGCACAGAGACTGATCAGGCTGATTATCCTCCTGCAGCTGCAGGGCCACCACAGCTCAGATGCATGACCCACAGGCCCC